TTCTAATGAATTTAATATGAAACAGTTGTCTTAAAATTCTTGAAATTCCATTTCATACAATTTTTGGATCACCCCAACTGGTTCTAATTCTTTTGCTGTTTCCATTATCAGCTCTTCTACCAGTTTATCGGATATCCTACTCCAAAAATTTGTGTTATTACAAATTTAAAGTACAATTATGTTAGTTATGATCTTACCATGCTACAATATCCCATGGTTTATTTTGTGTATTGCTAGAATACATTGGTCTTGATTGACACGCTTTACTGTATTCGTGTCTGTATGCTAAAATTCGTTGCTCAGCTTCTTTTGAAATAGTAAGTTCTAACTTATGTTTGTTATTTGTATGTGTTGCTTTTTTGTCACCATATATCTAAAAATTTATTATGATACTGCTAGCAATTCTTGTTTAAAAATTATTAAACATTAAAATTACCTATATATTCGATTATACATATTACTTACATTTATCGCAGTCTCATCTGCTTGACACGAAACATCGCATTGTCTTGTTTTGGAATTTTTATCCATGGATGACATACAAATCAATTGTACATTGTTATTGCGCTTCTGAATTTCAGATGAGCTATCACAATATGGAAAATATTTGTTCTTATTTTACCTAAGCGAGACGAATATTTATTAATATGATTTGTTTACCTATTTGCTGTAAAATATGAACGTTTACAACTATCGTCCATTAAAAGTGCCTGAGTATCAGAATCTTTAGGGGACTGATATTTTTGTAGGAACTTCATTAGCGTTTCCATAGATGTTTCAGATATAGGCTGTGGGTGTGAGTCAGTTTTCTAGGAAAAATTTGATACATGAGTTAATGTACAATGTCACTTTTATTTCATACACAGTACTTGAACCTACTTTTTTTGTTATGAGAGTCATTAAATCACTAATTACAGGAACTAGAGTGGACAAGTGTTCCTTGGTAATTGTAGTTACTTTGTTTACTAAATCATTGTCATTTAAAATATTATTTCCTCTAACATCTGTCTTATTATCTTTTGTACTCCTAAGTTTCCATATTTCAATAAACGACTTCTTTTGTGATCCTTCAGGCTGTTCTATTCTCGTCATATTACTACGTTTGGTTTGAATTTCTAGATTACTATCCTATTTCACAAAATTACTTTCTTTTTAAACTTACTCTAAAACGTTTATGTATGCTATTAATATATCTTACATTCTCGGAATCGATCGGTACTTCGTCCATCATAGTTTTAATATCATCATCTTTCAAATAGTTCATCTTCTTTGAACAATCAATCAAAACGGTATCCCTCGAAGATGATGTGTGCGTGGCAGGACTAGGATATAGTAATTCTGGCACTGCAAAGTGTTGTACATGTACGTTTTTAGTGTCTACAACTTTACATTTTCTCTCTCTGTGATTGTCTAAAACACACATCAAATTACATATTCAAGAATTTTCAAATAATACATATACTAATTGATAACAAGTTTGAATACTTTTTCCTTTTAAATCTGTGCTTTTTCTTTGATTCGTTTTAGGTACATCTATACTGTACATGCTTAGTCGACTAGATAAATTCTTTTTTTTATTTAATTGTCTTCCATTTTGTAAAGATGTCCTCATAGGAGTCACTGTAGTTTCAATATGCTTGCGACTTGCAGATTGTTCTTTACATTGTAAATTTAATTTCAGTTTAGACACGATAGTGTCAATGTCATCTTGAGGATCTTTTTCCTACAAAAGAGAATTTTTATAAAGGGTTTCAAACCCCTAATTCCTAAAATTATTTTTGTTCAATATTTATTACCACTGGCATGGCATTTACATCTCCTGAGCAGAAACAGTTGGTCGTGATTTCCACTTTATTGCAAATGTCTTTCAAGTCGCTAACAACCTGTAATACATTTTGAAGCTTTGTAGATTGACTCTCATGGATAGAGTTAGGTATGTGTTTGCAATAGGCATTTAATGCTTGTATTAGTAATTGGTAAGCAGCGATTAGCTTTTGCTTAATCATATCTTGATGAAATGTGATACTTCTATGATACTGCTTTGTTCTAGAGGATACAGCCCCGATATGCCTCCTTATGCTTGTTAGTAGCCTGTTAAGATTATATAAATAATTTCTTGAAAATCTAACGGCAAATTCCGTAGTTTGTTGTTGTCTTCTTTTCAGATCATCATTTCCATCTGGCAAAGGAATTTTAGATAATCGAAATGAAATTTCGTTTAGTAATGTAGATACTTTCTTTTGCATTGAAAGAAGTTTGTGTATTGTAAATGGATCTGCTTGTACATGAACAACATCCATTCTATTATCACTCAAATTTGAGTCTGAATCTGAATCATTTCCAAAATGATTAGTCGCTTGAAGTAGTTGACCAGTGTAAAGATTTTTTTGTATAATGGAAGAATCTGATAAAGATTTTTTGGTTCTTGGTTTTAACATTGTTTTGGATGTTTTGAAGTCTTGATAATCAGTAATATCTTCTTGTGATATTGGAATCAAAATATTAGTGTCATATGCACCTTTATTTTTCCTTTGTAACTTATGGTTTGCAGAATTGTTCCTTACGCTGTTTGACTAGCATTAAAAAAATAATGTGAATTTCAACGTTTTTACGCAATGTGGTAGAGTTATATTGAAAACTTAAAAAATACTCACTTCTACGCTTGTAATATTTTCATTTCTATTATTCAATTTACAATTACAAATTCCTTTGTTTCGTTCAGGTAGAGCATCTTCTTGTAGCCTCTTAAGTTCTCTATCTACATCTTGTATGTTTTCTTGTATTAAATCTTTAACACTCTGCATAGACAGGTGAATGTTTTTTTCTGGAAATCTTACATTATTGAACTCCTGTTCCTTAACAAACGAAGTCCAGATACGTTCTTCATCATCCTTGCATCTTTGTCTTTGTACACTTTTTACTACATGCTTAAAATGACTTTCTGGTGTATACTATAATAAACAGCATTTTATAGCAACATATCATATATATGTATATAAATACCTTATATGTATATGAATACCTTAAATTTATAATCTTTGTCCATTTCAAAAGATAGGATATGTTCTTTGTCTTTATTATTTATTTCATCACATTTCTTGCTATTTATCAGAAAATTCATTTCTTCTTCGTTACGTCAAAAATTCAAAACATTGTTTAAATAATTTTTGTACGTGTACCGATGTTGCAAAGACAGAATATCAAAGCGCGCGTAAATTCTGAAAAAAATCAGATACGAACTTACTTTCCTTCAGACGGTAACGCAAAGAAAATTAAAAAGAGTACTTTTTTTTACAGTTTTGAACAGGAGTTAAATTGGCAATGGATTCTCGATGTTTCAGTAACATAACATAAATACTTCAGAGTACTCTGAGAATGGAAATCTGAACGTTCGTATTTTCAATATATATATACATACATTGTGTGCCTATACACGTAAGTATGCTGATCAGTGTTTGTTTAATCATTGAAAGATATTTTTTAAGCATTTACAAAAAAATAGTGATTTCTTCATTGTTTAGATTAAAGAAATAAGAAATAATTGGAGAATCCTGTCTGTTTGTTCCAATTAATCAAAGAAATAGATATTCATATCTTCACTAAGTTTTACCTACATAATATATGTTAATAAATGTTAAGACAAAATCGACAGAAAATATGGGCGCGGCTGTGGCTGTGGTATGCTATGGTGTGATATCATATGTTTAAATGGTAGGATCAATACCACAGAATGTTCGATCAGAGACGAAACTCCTATCGGAAGCTTTGACCTTTATATGTAATCTCAAACTGGGGAACCTTGGTCGCAATTTAGATGTAGCGTTGAAAAGTGCGCCAATATTCAAAATGTAATACCACGACGAATTTTGACTTTTTTTTTCAAAAAACAAAGAGTGTTTCGGAAACACAAATAATTTCGTGAACATAATTTGATTTAAAAGATTATTCTCACTGTTACATATTCACTGTGTATATAAATAAATATTCTCGTACATTTGCGAGCATTTTTATTTTTATATTTATATTTATACAATTACACTATGTATTTTATTAAAGAATACTGAAAATCGTACACACGCGCGCTCGATAAATATCATCAGAGTCCCACCGATAAATTCATAGAACACAATTTGCGCACGCATGCGAACTGAAAATCAGTGTTTATAAAACTCCAAAGTTTCGTCTCTGACAAAGTACTGTGTGCTTCTGGTCGAATATTCTGTGTCAATACTCCCGCTCGTGAGGACATACAAAACACAAGTCGTCTTGCGAACAGGTACTGTTCTGCGTGTCCAAACAGGATTCACCTGGGGATCTATACCTTTTACGCGCTTTTTTTTAAATTTCTCGAGATAATTGAACGATGATTAATTCTGTTTCTGTTCATCAATTACGTTACTATGTTAATTTTGATTTGGATTCCTTGGAATGTATGTGGAATTCATTTCTTCGTTTGTGCCCAGTCGGTTTCGGAGATCTTTAAAATCCTATCGAGTGTTCGTAACAATTAATCGCTAAAAGTCGATGTCCACCATTGTTGCTGAAATATTAACCAATCCTTGGTTGGTGTCAAATGACGTCAAAAAATCTAGGCGCAGAATCACGCTCCTCGAAGGCTCTGGTGATCGTGTGTCCTGTCGAATTTTCGGCTGTCATTTCGGACACTCAATCTTTGTTCAGGTGTAACTTATTTGGTAAAGTATCAAAGAAAAGTTTCTCATTATGAGGTAGTATCGTTTATTTTCTGACATCGTGTATTTCTGTTATTATCTCGTCTTCAATCGAAATGTGTCTTTCTGTCAAAAAAACGCTTCTGCTTCTCAGTGTCACTAGAACGTTTCGGATAACGATGCTGCAGCGCAAGATGATTTTCATTTCTACGAGATAATGGCATTGTTTCATAGGTAGTAGTAGCAATATAATAAAATAATATTATTACAAAATAAATTTTTACGGTGTCTTTTTAGATATTTTAAAGCTCAATCGCTTTTTAAAGAGAACCTTCTACATTTTACTCATCTGCGTTAATAACGCGAACTTTTATCGCTATAAACTTGTAGAGAATATTTATGTCTTACCTACACAACTAAGTATTAAGCTTTCAAAGATGGCATCCGAAGTAATAGTGAAATTGCCAAAAGTACCAACGGTATCAACATCGTCAGTTCCAAAAGTACCATTTCCTCAAGTAAGCTAAAGTTCTTTCTCTTAATTTAAACAATATTATGAAAGTTTTGAATAATCTCATATCAATTTTTTCTAAGGGAAAGAAACCACCATCTGACATAGTAGCTCAGTTAGAACAAAATATGAAATTTTTGCAAGAACAACATCAAGCAACATTAGTGGCTTTACATGAAGAAGTAGATTCTCTGCGTCAAAGAAATAGAGGTAAATTGTCAAGCTACTAAATACTTTATTAATTTTATGTAAGATCAAAATGTTATCACTGTTTGTTTCTATATAGATTTACAGTTTCAATTGGTATTTTCCAAAGGATCTGCTTTTGTGCCTAGCAGTCCTTCATCCCCTGAAGATAATGAAACTGGGTTTGTGAAACCAAAGGTATGTCCATGGTTTTGAATAATAACACAAGATTTCGAAAGAATGCTAGATTAAATGTATATTCCTTTTTTCTTAGGATAGCCCAGGATGCGTAAATGTTGCACCATTGCAGGTGGAACTATTGGAGAAAGATTTGCAAGATATTAAGATATCTTTGCAAGAAGCTAAGACACAAAATCAGTATTTGTCGGAGATCGTTGAACAACAGAAAAAGTTAGTAATCATGGTCCACATAGTATACATTTGATGTTTGTTAATGCAAAAAGAGTTCTATCTGCTGTAGGAAATTGGATTCCTCGATGGAACAGAAAACAATCAAACAATCGGTAACAGATGTAGGAATCCAAATCGATTGCTTTCGACTAAATCAGATCGACGAGGCAGACTTGAGATGCGTAGAATCGATGATAAAACAGCTAATGAAACAGATCGTAGATCAAAGGAAAGAAATTGAAAAGTTGAAGGAAGTATTAGAAAATGCAGCGAGCGTTAATAAAGGTGCTCGTTCTCGCGACAGTAACAACGGTCATCATAATCGTGTATCACCTACGAGTTCCACGCAGGAACAAATTCCTCATAAATTTCCGCCTTTACAGAGCCAGAGTTATTGGCATCGCAGGACGTCTAGGTAAAGTATGATATACCGATTCTTAATCATTCCGTGGTTTCATTTTGATTGATGTAATTTCAGGAATGGAAGAAACCGGCACGATAAACAAGATCATCAGTCGGAAGTGGACTTCACGATGTTACCGCAACTTCAAAACGATAGTATGACATTGGATACGGTAATTACCGAATCTCAATTTCATCAGAGACCCGCTTATCGCAATTACTGTCGCGAGAAAATTGACAAAATCCGCCGAAATTATTGGCTTCACACATCGCAGAAAGATCGAAGAGATACTGATAACAATCATCATCACCACCAACATCAACATCATCATCATCATCATAATAATCACAATAATCATAACAATCATAATAATCATAATAACCATCATGATCATCGACGGGATTACAAGGACAGAAATTCAAAGGGGCATCAAAAAGAATTTGTAGATTCGGCGGAAGGCTCGAGAGAAGCAGATAAATCAACTGCTAGTAAATCATAAATGCATAACAGTCTGCAAAAATATTAGATGCGCGACAGATGCGTTTTGTTCTCTACCTAAATACAGGTGATAATAAGGAATATTTCAATAGCGATATATTTGTTAATAAGAGAATAATCTACTTTTTCTTCTACCTGCTTAAAACTGATAATTAATGTTAATTACATACGTACAGGCTTGCCATAGGTTAGTGATAATACTGAATTGAGATTATATGAACTTTAATGTGAAAATCTAGTCCAATTTTACTCATTGTAGGCTACCATTGTAAAGGTAGAATGTCTGTGCTTTATGAATCAGTGATAATTAGTAAATACAATTACTTGTGCTATTATGAACTAAAAAAAAAAGGATAATTGTTTCATTTTTACTGCGAGAAACAATAACATACTTCTTTTTTAAGAAAAAGTCGATCATAATCATGATACGGTAATGATGATGATGATGAGATGATAATGGTGATGACGGCATGATGATGATGACGATGGTGATGATGATGATGATGATGATGATGATGGCAGTGAAGATGTTGGCGATGATAATAATAAAAGAAAATATACGACCAATATTTATATGATGTTAGTTTCTCAGGCTTAAATTGACCAATGCTTAAGCTTAATACGCGCGCAATATTTCAGTACACTGTGTACGTGTATTACATTTTTATTTACAGGTTACTGAGTATTATTTATTGTGATATTATAGATTTCATATAGTTTTACAGGTGACGTTAGCAATGTCGTTGTATGATCACGCTGTTGTCAATGTTACATCCAAATACTTTGTCAGTTCTAAGAATCATATATTACGTTTCGATCAGTATAGGGAGATACAAATGAACAATTTATTATAATTGTAAAAAAATCATTAAATTAAACATCTTTTCTCTCTTTGTCTCTCCTCTCTTGTCCTGCCCCCCCCTCTCTATATATCCCTCCCAACCCCTTTGTTTAAGACATCCTCTATTCTTCATTAACTATCATTGACCATAATGGTACATATATTTACTGCAGATACATACTTTTTTAGTTTAAGGAAATGAAAAAATGCATATTAATACATTAAACAATTACTTAGAATTTTTCTAAGATAACTCAAGTAGAAATAAGATCTTTACAATTGCATTGGCGACATCGACGTAAAGTAAAGAATTTGAGAACCACTTTATAGACGAAACAGTTACGTATGTTGTACAATGTATCTCAAGTTTTGCAAGACTCTCTGGCCGCAGCGCGCTCCGTAAGTGAGAGTAGAGGTAGAAATTACTTTGCTCTGATTAGTTGACGATTCAATGCTAAGACAGGATTCACTGCGAATTGGATGTACAGTAAAATGGTGGGGATGTTTGTACAAGCTAAGGGAGCGTGCGCAAGGCGGTCGAGAAAACGAGCGGACAAAGCCCAGTTCCGCTCATTGGCTTGGCCGTCTTGCGTCAGCTGATCTCGCTTCTCATTAGTCAATGTTTTTCGTTAATAACTCGTAAACAAAGCCGCGGATTGCACTAGTGCTAAGAAAACAGTTACTTCAAATGACTTCAGAAACCCCACATTTCCCGATATTGAGTAACTTTTGGGACACTCTGTATTACGTACTACATATTATGGCCTAAGGTGGCACATACATATATATATGGTGTGTGTTTAAATTTCAAAGTACATAGTGGGGGTTATGGAAATTGCGCGCGTATACTACATGATATTGTATTAGATTTTTACGTGAAATATTGTATTTTTGTAAACAATTGACACGAGTTTTTTTAAATGGAAGAGGTAACCGTTTATTGTTATGGTAGGAATCTATTCATTGCAATTCTGTTAACAGTTTATACTTGTACAGGTAACGTTCTCAGATTTCCAAAATGACGAACGGTATAAAAAGTTGGAACGGACATTAAAATTAGCTTCTTTCAAGAAAAGAGTTAGACAAGAAGAAGACGAATCATGGCATTTACCCATGTCACCTAGTATGTCCAGCATTAATGTGGACGCATCTGATGTCAATACGAATATTCCAGATTCGCGAGCCTTTAAAATTGGCAGCGAAATTGTTTCTTCTAGCAAAAATCTAAGAAATATAGTGCTAAAAAAGAAAGACCTAAAGAATAATCTTCAAACTATATCCACGTCTAGTATTAGAGACTTGAACAGTACGAATGGCTTGCAAGATCATTTTATGATGCCACCTCCTAATTGTAATTTTATTCCTGGGAGCTCTAAAAAAGTAAACAGTACACCATTAGCTAATATCAACAGAAATGCACCAGTATATTTGAGTAAATGCGCTTCATCTGATACTGATAAACAATCTCTTAAATTAAATAATTCTGCTTCCCTACAAATTAGTCCTAATAAAATAGCACATGATAGAATTAGAATGTTTACTAGATGGAAAGTCATATTAAACGAACAGAGACAATTGATCATTCAAGGAATAATAAATGGGTAGGTCTGTGTGTAGTACGTACAAATGCATTGATACTAATTTCACTTTATTATTTCAGTAGCAAATTTGCTAGAAGCAAGCCTATTGTAAGGAGAATAATATCAACTAAGGTTCAGTCTATATCTAACCATATATATCATTTGGAAGGGAATATTGTTGACAATGAATGTGGTAAATTATTTTGAAATTTCTTAAGTATAACTAAATCGTTTACATATTTTTATATATGAAACTAAAATATAATAACTTCGTAGAGTTACCAGATTATGTCAGAGGTAAATTTTACAATGGATTTCCGGACGACTGGGAGAATGTTCATCAGATATGGCAATTGTATATACAACAGGGTTCCAGACTAACGTTTCGTTGGCCTACTCCACTCGCAGATAGCGATGATGACATAAGAAGTNACTTTGCTCTGATTAGTTGACGATTCAATGCTAAGACAGGATTCACTGCGAATTGGATGTACAGTAAAATGGTGGGGATGTTTGTACAAGCTAAGGGAGCGTGCGCAAGGCGGTCGAGAAAACGAGCGGACAAAGCCCAGTTCCGCTCATTGGCTTGGCCGTCTTGCGTCAGCTGATCTCGCTTCTCATTAGTCAATGTTTTTCGTTAATAACTCGTAAACAAAGCCGCGGATTGCACTAGTGCTAAGAAAACAGTTACTTCAAATGACTTCAGAAACCCCACATTTCCCGATATTGAGTAACTTTTGGGACACTCTGTATTACGTACTACATATTATGGCCTAAGGTGGCACATACATATATATATGGTGTGTGTTTAAATTTCAAAGTACATAGTGGGGGTTATGGAAATTGCGCGCGTATACTACATGATATTGTATTAGATTTTTACGTGAAATATTGTATTTTTGTAAACAATTGACACGAGTTTTTTTAAATGGAAGAGGTAACCGTTTATTGTTATGGTAGGAATCTATTCATTGCAATTCTGTTAACAGTTTATACTTGTACAGGTAACGTTCTCAGATTTCCAAAATGACGAACGGTATAAAAAGTTGGAACGGACATTAAAATTAGCTTCTTTCAAGAAAAGAGTTAGACAAGAAGAAGACGAATCATGGCATTTACCCATGTCACCTAGTATGTCCAGCATTAATGTGGACGCATCTGATGTCAATACGAATATTCCAGATTCGCGAGCCTTTAAAATTGGCAGCGAAATTGTTTCTTCTAGCAAAAATCTAAGAAATATAGTGCTAAAAAAGAAAGACCTAAAGAATAATCTTCAAACTATATCCACGTCTAGTATTAGAGACTTGAACAGTACGAATGGCTTGCAAGATCATTTTATGATGCCACCTCCTAATTGTAATTTTATTCCTGGGAGCTCTAAAAAAGTAAACAGTACACCATTAGCTAATATCAACAGAAATGCACCAGTATATTTGAGTAAATGCGCTTCATCTGATACTGATAAACAATCTCTTAAATTAAATAATTCTGCTTCCCTACAAATTAGTCCTAATAAAATAGCACATGATAGAATTAGAATGTTTACTAGATGGAAAGTCATATTAAACGAACAGAGACAATTGATCATTCAAGGAATAATAAATGGGTAGGTCTGTGTGTAGTACGTACAAATGCATTGATACTAATTTCACTTTATTATTTCAGTAGCAAATTTGCTAGAAGCAAGCCTATTGTAAGGAGAATAATATCAACTAAGGTTCAGTCTATATCTAACCATATATATCATTTGGAAGGGAATATTGTTGACAATGAATGTGGTAAATTATTTTGAAATTTCTTAAGTATAACTAAATCGTTTACATATTTTTATATATGAAACTAAAATATAATAACTTCGTAGAGTTACCAGATTATGTCAGAGGTAAATTTTACAATGGATTTCCGGACGACTGGGAGAATGTTCATCAGATATGGCAATTGTATATACAACAGGGTTCCAGACTAACGTTTCGTTGGCCTACTCCACTCGCAGATAGCGATGATGACATAAGAAGTGAAGTAACAGATCTCACATTTGCATCTATAGAAAATACATCTCCACCAAAGTCATTTGCTAATTTGCAAACAAACCAGAACAAACAGAATTTTACTGTGCTGAATCCTAATGCAAGTAAAGATAATCAGTATTCTTATAAGGACAGTAAAACAAATAAATTGAAGGATAAATTAAATGTAATTGTTAATAGTATAAAAGATCAAAATTGTTCCGAAGAATTTGTTAGTAAAGTTATTGATATATTTGATTGTTTACATTATGTTGTGTCATATGGATCGAGTAAAGAGAATGAATCCAATATGGAAATTTCAACATCGATGCAGAGTAAAAGTATAGTGCAAGAACAAAAGAAACATATCAGCAATGAATCAATTCCTTCATACAATCCTATCGAATGTGAAATGGATAAATGTAAGAATATTAATATATATCATAACAAAAATACTACTTCTAAGGACTCCTCATTAAATATGAGAAATCACACTAAAACAAATAGTCGCGTAGATAAAGATGCCTCCGATAGCGAGAGTGAAATTTATACTGGAATTCCGAAAATTTCTACGGAGCGAATATTACAGCAAAGAGAAATCTTAGTGAAGCCTCATAAACGTAAAACAAGATCAACGAAGCTTTCACAACGGTATTGCGAGGCTCAGGGAAAGAATATTCAAAATAGTAATAATATGTACAGTAACGATTCTGGTGTTAGTATTATTGGAGATCAAATAGAGTTTTCAGGAATGGCAAAATTAACGAAATCGAAGGTAGAAAATAACGTTAATGAGAATGTTAATCTCGGTCAAACAGTAAGGGGACAATCGAAAGGGTCCAATGTCTCTACAAAAGAAATAAGTGCTGATAAAATGCTAGAACATTTTGTTGAAAAAGATTCTATGTCTCTTCATAAATTAACAAGAAATGCTTCAAGCTCTTCTGATATAGATGAATGTGATACTGGTGAAATCAATGGAACTGTAGAAAATAAGAATGTTGTTTCCGAAACAAATTTTCAGAATGAAGCTTCAAAGAAACGGAACTATAATGTCGCGAATAACCAGTATCAGTTATTGAATAAAATATGCAAGCCTGTTGTGATTAGTTCAGAAGCTGTTGATACAAATAAAATGTATAAAGAAATTAAGCAAGCTAAAACTGTTAATAAAAATGGTAAAGTATCAGAAAAAGAGGTACAACCCCTGGTACAGAAAAAGTCTCCTATAAAAGTACTTAACACTATACAAAATACTGATTCAGACGCGTTAATTGATAATAATCGTGAAGAACATGAAGGATCAAAAAATCTCATACAGCTGAATCAAATACGTATTTGTGGAGAAGAACAGGACAAAGATGATATTAAAACTGAAAAATTAACCGGTTGGACTCCGGTACTTATATATAATCCTGTGTTATGTTTAACTTTTGAGGGAAAATTACTGAAGTAAGTGTTAGTACGCTCCGTTAACCGAATCTTATTTCATTAATATATAGCAATATATTCATGATTATGAATGCGTAGCGATGCTGGTCACGTTGTTAAACGAAGATTTCGAACGGACGCTGTACTTCGTCGAATATCACCGAAATTGGTCGAAACCATAACTCATAAGTTCTATACACTAGTTGGCGATTTAAATAATCACAAACATGGTAAGAAATTCTAATACTTCATCGTCAAAAATATGAGACAGCTAACTAGAAATTATTATTGTGTATAAAGTGATACCTAAACAGTTGGTCACTCAATGCCGTAACGGATGTCCGACAAGGATAGATCAGTTTTGCAAGACATGGGAATCATTGCAAAATGCTGGTGAAACTGATGACGATACAGAAAATAATATCCAGAATATTCGCATGAGCTCGAAAGGCAGGAGAATTATACCTCCGTTAAGTTATTGGACTGGTAAAATATTGAAGTTATTTGTTTTTCAAAATATGACTTAACAATCAAGCAAAGTAACAATGTTTTTTCTCTTCAGGTGAACGTGTTTCTATGAAACATAATAAATCAGTGTATACTCCAGGTTCTTCACATGACTCTTCAGTGGAATATATGAGTAAAAGTCTTAACAAAAATAAATCTATGAATAAAACAACGAATCAAGAAAATAATTCAAACAAGGAACAAGGTTCGAAAGAATTTAAGGTACGTGACGCTATAACAGACATGTTATAGATCGGGTATCTGACAGAGAATTTAATCAATAAAATTATATATAGAGTCCAGAAAGCACTGAAAATACAAAAGGAGGCGTGGTGAAAGGAAGAAAGAAAAAGAAAATCGCTCAGGAGCTATCAGATTCAAGTGACGCCGCTGACATTAGAAGTCCTCCTGCGAGCAAGGTAACATTTCTTTTTCGCTTTTTGGTATATATATTTATTTTACTATGCTCAATTTAACAGAGACAAAGGTTCACTGCGAATCTGCAAGAATCCTACACCGCCGTATGCACGACAAATAGTCCAAGAAAATTGGTAAATGATTTATTATTACGGATTTTTGATTGGATTATTAAAGAAATAGTTGTACATTGTTCATTCTTACAGCGTAAACGTTGTTTGGAAAATGAAAGAACCGAATGGAAAGCAAGATCAAATACTGAACAGATTACATCACCAGTTAATGAAATGTAATAAACATTTTCGTGTAATTTTCGGTTGTGTTGAACTTTTGATTATATTCTATTTACTGTTCGATGTTATTGACACGTAGCATACTTATTCAGGTCGACGGATCAATCTATATCCGGGAATCATTATAACGTAAATTACTTTTGTTACCGAAGTAAACGTTGCCCGAATGACACGTTATCGGAGGATCAAGAATCTTATGTACAATAGAAACTTATCTTTTAGTTGTGACTGAAGAGAAGTAATGTAAAGTTTTATATGTATTTCGTGAATAAAACATACACAAAAAATCTGTACATCTTAATCATAGAAATTGATCATTTTCCGTCTTTATGGTAAAATGCATTTGCCTCGTTTCAATGGAAACGAGACGTACGTATTAAAGCTTATTGCAACATATGAAATAATGTGTAGACTATTTTTATTGTTCAATAATGTAACTTAACAATTGTATAAAGCACGTAAGAAATATATTCCATTCCTAAGCCAGTAACATAAGAAATGTACAATAACTTAGCGTCAGTAAAGTTAAAATTGAGAATGTGTTATAGGTACTAAGTTGTAAATCGATATGCGATAGTACAGTGACGAATAAGATTTTAATAAAAGGGGTTCACGGTTTTTCAAACCGTACAATTATGGATACGTTTAAACGTAATCAGAGAACTCAAACGACGCCTTATATGTACATATGCGTATATATACGTATATATACGTAGCATGCCATTTTAGTATGTAGCCAGTATCACTCTCCTAAGTATATAAATGTGCAGGGGAAGATAATGATTTATTCATGAGTATAGTAACTTTGTAAATGGCTTCGCCATTCTTTTTGTTTATACAAGACGATAGATGCTCACCAGCTACGGGCGATCGAATCTTCGATTAGACAAGATGCCCTGTAATTTCCAATTCGCTTGCGGACTTTTCTGTATTGCACCTTTTTTTTATATCGGGGCCGAATAATATTATCGAAAGCATGAAGTATTAAGCAGAAACTAATCCGTTAGCTTTCATCGTACAGGGGAGTACCGTCTCCGCTGAGAGACATACTCCGAGGACTAGAATTAGTATGCGGCGTTCCCCGTGGAGATTTGTAAGATGGTGTGCGCGTCGATGTTCTGTTTCGTGGGGTTGTTCTACCGACGGATTCTTCATAGTTTCGCGGGGTTTTCCTCGATTCCTCATATCTTGGCGTCGAGCTGCTAATAGAAACAACATACATGAGCAAGGTGTTGGATTTTGAATTAAATATTCAATGGCCAAATCGTTGAACACTTACGACATTCGGGGGCCAGTTTTCAATCTCGCCCAGGCCTCGGCTGCCTTTTTCCAATCCATCGGGTCGCCAGGTGTCGACATAGGAGGCGTAGGTCTGTGCGATGGGGTGGACCTATGGTGACCTGGAGTGGCGACCGAGGGAGGAGGTGGATGAACGAAGGGACCCTGTTGATGATTAGGCGTCTGCTGTCCATATCTGGGAGTCGGTTGACCATGGTGTGGAGTGTGATGCGGCGTCTGGTACGGTGTCATGAATGGCGTTTGCCCGGATGGCGTGTATGGTGTGTTCGGGTAGGTGTGAACACCACCGTAACCAGCCACGCTTGCGGTTCCCGGAGTATGTGGTGGATAGTGATGTGGAGTTTGGTTTGCCACTTGTGACAGAGAGTGTAGCATGTGATGAGGAAGATTTTGGGCTACTCTTTGTATCGCTTCTTGATTCATTCCTGCAACAAATTCGATATTAGAGTGATCCGGTGGTTAGGAAGAATGGAAAACATTGGTACCGAAGAGAACTACCCACCGCTTACTGCTCCCGGAGTAGTGTGGTAAGGTGTTCTGGAAGTCATTGCACCACGTGGAGTGCTAGGAGTCGATTGTCCTGGCACCGGATCTCTGAAATGCTCCTTGAACCAGCGAAACAGGTCGTTCACTCTACCGAACATTTGTCCTCGGAATCGAAATCCTTCCGGCGACACTGTGACGTACTCGTGGCGACACCGAGTTCGCGGCAAGTAGGATAATAGGAATTTACCAGGATAATTCTGAAACGTGTACGGAAAACTGTGAATGTGTATTACAACTCAACGCCGCCGGAAATCGACTGCGACAAACCTTGGCAGCGGATATTATGTACGGTATTCCTCCAGGATTCTCTTTCTTTTGCTCCTTCAGTATTTCCTCGGCCTTGTCTTTAATACCCTCCACGGTAAGTTTGTAGTACTTGAAGTCCAACAACTCTGAGGCATACGCGGCCATCGGGTTCACGTGCCTCGCTATTATCTCATCCAGATCTTCGAACTCTTCGTTCCCGATCCATAAGCTTTGTCCCAACGAGAACGCATTTTCTTTTCCTTCTTCCCTAACGTCGATGTGTTGGTAGACTTCGTCGGTGACCTTCCACGTGACCGTCAAATGGTCAGCACCCTTGCTGCTCGGTCTGACGATTGCTTCACCTTGCTTCATGGTCTGCATCAATTTCTCTGCTTCCGCGAAACTGATATTGTGGAAAGACGGATGGACGATCACTCGCTTCACGTAAGTTTGTCGTTGTTTCGCCTTCTTCGCATCCTCCTCGACCTTGACGTCCTTCTGCTCCGTCTCGGTGTCGTAAAAAGGATCGCGTTGCGGTCTGAAACGCCATAGAAATCATGAACATAACAGTTGCAACAAAACAAAACGATGGTTTGGATTAATTTTTAAATAGCGAAATAAATAAATTACTACGATACAAAGCTGGGTGGCAAAGCTACAAAGAGGCCGTGTACCTCCATTCATGGTTCTTGTCTGCTAGATCGCTACTCTTGCTGGTGCACTCAACGCTGAATCGTTCGACCTCGATTTTGATGATGCGGCAATGAATGATCTGCCCTATGCTGACTCTTTCCTCGGGATTGGCGACGTGTCTGTCGGACAAGTTCTTAATGTGAATGTAGCCGGATATCCCGTTGTCCAGCCTCAACCTGACGCCGGTTGCTTTACCGGGGCAAGCACCGGCGTCAAAATGATTCCAGACCTCGGAGAGCTCGGGGAAGTCGTTCTTCAAGCAGAACGGGCACTGCCAAAGACCAGTCTCGTCGTTTCTTACGGGATTCGCCTGGTCGAGTTGATCGCCCTGAGGTTTCCTATGGCTGATACCCACGACGGTTGCCAGGACCAGTTTGCCCACATAGAATGTTTCTGGCGTCTCCTTGGTCAGAATATCGAACAATCTCTCCGCGCTCGGCGACTGATACGGCACTCGCAGATCTTTGTAACGACAATTCAGCTCTGCCCTAATGTCGTAGAGTGTGACGCACTTGTTACCGAATCCCTGTCTTTCGAGCTCCTCCGCAAACGCGTCGAGATCCAAGTCCTTCAGCCTCTCGGGCGACTCGAGGATCTCTTCGAGAGCACCGGCGGGGTTCGCGTCCTCGTCATCGTACTCGAGCGCGTCGACAGCCATTTTCCTCGCCCATTCATAGGTCTCTGGATGCACACGGGACCCATCGAGCACCTCCACGTACGCTTCGGTGCTGTCTCCCAAGCTATTCGTATCTATCTTGATAAAACCCGCGCAATTAATAAAAACCTTGGGCCCCATGTGACAAGCGGTCACCAGCTGCGTTCTGTTCTCTAACCTTTGGTTGGTTTGCTTCAGCATTTTGATCAACGCTTGGCCTTTCCTCGGGCCGAGACCGCATACGAATTGCACCAGGTTCCCACAATAGGCTTGCTGTACCGCCTTGTTCACGTCGACACCGACCTCGTTCACCCTGTTAACGAACTCTAGATACAGGTTTTCGAGGAGCTCGTCCTTCGGCAATTGATCCTGCAAGCTGTGGTACTTCAAACAGAGGATCTCCTCGTCGGCGGTGCACAGTTGAGAGAACTCGACCAGAGGATCTTGCATTCGTCTGGCCAATGAGATCGCCTGCCGCAACAGCTCCGGATAGTCCCGGAATTCGGACACGCCCTTGTTACTGTTCGAATAGATTTTGGCCAGTTCGTTGTCGCAAATCTCGACTTGAATAGCCGGGAACTGTTCCTCCTCCGCCAGGGTCGCAATGCATTCCTTAACGTCGGCCGCGATCATCATCGCCTCCCTAGACTCGCCTCCGATCACCACCACGTGTGGCTTCTTCGTGGCTAGGAAATTTCTCAGGGCCAACAGGTCGGCTTCCTTCATGACTTTCTCGTCTTCCCGGTAGCTGTTCTTCCGTTTCATCAGATGCGGTAGTCTCAGGTAATCGGTACACTCGCCGTCCGGGGCTATGAGGCAGGTGAACGCGGCCTGAGAGTAATCAGGAACGTACGCCAAACCCATCACGCGAAGTCCTTTGCTGGTGTCCCATTCCTCGTCCTCCTCTTCCGGCAGCTCGCAGGTGAACGGAGCCACTTTGATCCAATTGTACATTTTACGGCAGCACGCTCTCATCACGCATTCCTTAGCTTCCGCGATTAGATTCGTTCTAAGTTCTTTCTTCAGGCTGGGTATAACCATACGCGTCAACGCCATCTCCACGCTGCCGACTCTCAAAGCGTTCCAGTCTTGGACATTTTTGCTGAACTCGTCCCGATAATAGAGCTGCTTCGTCTCATCGACATAGTTGCTACTAGTGTTGCCCTCGATGCTGTCGCTTAACGAGATCGTGATCAGTTTGTCTTCTTCGGCTATTATCAGATTTAAGAACTGATCACCGACGAGATCACGCACGGGCTTGTCCTTCAGATACTTCATAGCGTAGATAGGATGGTTCTCGTCGATCTCCTTGACCCCCTTTTTCGTTGGTTTCACCGATATCTTCGCTCTTTCCATGTACATTTCCCGTACACATTTTCTGACCAGTGGCTCGCGGGCCAACTGTATCGCCACCATCAGCTGCCCGGCCTTCAGCACCTCTTCCGGCGTTCCGAGAATCTGGTTGCAGTGCTCGCTCGCGATGCTCAACGGTTCCGTGGGCTCCTGGTCCACCTCGTGTCGTTGATAATTGTCTCGCAGATTCTCGGCAAAGTGTTCCGGCGTCAGGCCGAATTTCTTCGCCAAACCATCGAGTCCGGCTCGCCTGCAGATCGAGTACGGGCCAGTCCGTACTGCTTGTTTCAAAGTCTCGTCTGGCTCCTCCTCCAGCTCGACTTCCGGTTCTTCCTCCGGAGGCGGATCCTCGCCGTTTTCTTCGGCTTCCGCGAGCTGTTGCCTACGCTTTAGAAGCTTTGCTTCTCGTCGCGCCTCTTTCTCTTTTTGTCGAACAGACTCCTGCATCGCCGGAATCTCCTGGCTGTAGTAGAGCATGAAATGATGGTACACGTCGTTCAATTCCTCGCTGGTTTGCACGTTCTTCAGCCGTTCTATGTCGTCATCCTTGATCACTCGTACGTTGTCGGCCAACGGAGCGTCGGGATTTTTCATGATCTCGTCGAGCTGGTGGTTTCGCATCTTTTCGAACAATTTCAATAGATTATCCTTCCTCTGGCGCAGCTGACACCATTTCGCGTCGAATTTGTACACCTTCCAAAGGTCATTGATATTCAGCTCCGGCAGAACGTATTCTTTTCTGTAAAACGATATGAACGGAATTTCGAAATGTTGATTCCGCATAAAGTCTAGAGCTTTTTTAATTTTGCCAATCGTCTGCGGTCCCTTTCGAGCTCTCTCTTTGGCCTCGGCGTTCAAGTGAGCGTCTTGAATAGAGATTGTCGGGCGACAGAACGCTTGCTTATAGATCCACTCGGCTTCCAGATCCAACTCATCAGAACCCTCTGCGACAGGTGTAACAGGAACCGAACGGAGCTGCATTCTTTCAGGTATATCCGTGTTGCGTATTTCGTTGTCCATGTCGGTGAAATGGCCACGTTTCAGTTCGCTGGGTTCGTAAATTTCGAAGATACTCTTTCTTGTGGTTTTCTTCTTCAATTGTTTCTTTGGTCTTCTCGGTCTTTCGGCATCTTCTTCGTCCATGTATTCGTCCTCCTCCTCCTCCTCCTCTTCTTCTTCCTCATAGTCCTCCTCGCCATACTTACCGAACTCATCGTAATCGAAATCAACACCAAAAATATCTTGAGCCTCTTGCAATGCCGCGTCCGAAAATATAGGCTTTTTCTTTTTACGTTTCTCGGCGATCGGTCTGCCGTCATCGTCGACAATAAAATCATCCGCGTCGGTGTACTCCCCTTCGCTTCCTTCCTCGTCGAACGTCTCCACTTCCGGCCTGTGGCTCCGTTCGCTTCTCCGTTCGTCTTCCTAATGAATAACAAAAACCTGTACCCGAGAACGAAGTAGAAGCACAACGGTGATTCGTCTTTCTGGCTACCGTACATACCATACTAATTTCTCTTTCCTGATAGAGGTATGAAAACAAGCACAAAAGTTAAGCGTTTCACGTTATGAAAAACAGCGAATGTTTCATTAGAACTAAAAACAAAATCATATATATCAACATGTAAAGATTAAGAATTTGGCTTACGTCTCCAGAACCCTCGAATAGCTCATTCGCGATAGCATCCCTATCCTCGTCCACCTCCTTTTCTTGTTCTTCTTCAGATTCCTCATCTTGTATCCTGCGGAGGCGTTTGAAACGTTTCTAAAGTAAAGGATCACATCACTACATCCGTACGATCGATTAATTTTTAGGTATAACTGGCTAATTCGTAAATACGTTTATATATATGTATATGTACCCTTTCAACTTTAACACCTAAATTTTCTTCTATCAAATCATAATCCTCGTCCTCCAGGCGATCATCAAAGTCCTCGTCGTCGCTTTTTTTACGTTTTTTCGAAGTACCAGATCCATCGCTGTCCTCTCCTTCGCTTTCTTCGATGGGATTGTCGTCTATCAGATCCTTAAGTTCCTCGCGTAAGCGATCTTCATCATCTGCGAATGAATATTAAACAATAGTTTTTATTGCGTAACAATTAGAGCATGCACCGATAAAAATGGTACTTTGTAATAAAAAATTCCGCGCTTGATCATGACGGATTACTCAAAACGTATTACTCCGTCTCACCTTCCTCCTCCTCCTCTTCGCTCTCTTCGACGGCCTTTATCTTCTTCAACTTTTTCTTTTCATTTTCATCCAACTCCTCCTCCTCCTACAATATAACGGAACATATCGATAAGTGACATAAGCTGCCGAAATGTCGAATCAACAGAGAAAAACGAATAACACAGTTTCTTCCGAGCCCGATGAAACATCGCAAATACCTCGCTTTCTTCCGCTTCGGAATCTAGAAAATCAGCCATCTCCCCGTCAACAAGTTCAACTCCGTATTGGTAGAATTTACTCGAACTCAAACAACATAAGGATCTGGGGTCAAGTTAGTTCGAGGTTCGAGCACTTTACCCTGTTTCGCACTTGCTTCAGCTGTACGCTATACCCAACTCTGGTACTCAACTCGGGTAACCCGAGCTCACCCGAGCACGAGTGACAGTGACGACGACCAACGACGACTACTGTCTATGCTATACTATGGCTAGTATGATGTGTGTGTGCTTTGTGTGTATGTATAGAGTCGATCGTCGATACTAGGGGAATTATCAGAATAAGAGAAACACAGTATTTCAAAAAATCCCTAGTCTATGGGGAACACCTTAGTGTCTAAGACTTAGACCAGTTAGACCATAATATGGTTATGTCAAGGTCATGTCAAGAGCATACATATGCCACTATTACTGCTGAGCAGGCCTTCCCGGCATCCCAAATGAGATTGGCCGATGCTAATAGATTCCATTAACAATCCATTGGAATCATCCAATCGCATTCGTGAGATCTCCTCTCTTTGCCACCTTCTTACTTTAATTAGAGCTCTTAAAAACTAAAGCGTTTCATGGAGATAGTACAAACATATTAGAATCTATTCTGATCTCCACTGATCGATGATATAATACTGGCACCTCTTGTGACTAAATGAATAAGTTCCGTACAGCGACAATTAGTAAATGGCAAAACGTTGAAACTGTTCGTCGAATGGTACCTCGACTCCGGTATCACGCCAATTGGTCTAGTGGCAAAATGCTGAAACTAATATATAAAATTACCGATAGTTGATTTTGGCTAACAGTTCCAGCGTTTCGCCATCTACTAATTGGCGCTGTACGGACCCTAAACGGAGCTTTAGTTTTTCACCACGCGAGGCGTCAATATCATCCAAACAGCAACTAAAGTTTAAATCAAACGTTGGAGCCATTGGAACGAGGGAACTAAAAGCGTCGAATAGTTTTTTTAAAATACTAAATATCAATTGATGGTTTTGTTTAAAAGTTATTAAATACTTGACACAAGTAACTGCTGGACGAAGGTATTTTAAGGTATATAAAATATACTGAATATGTGTTGAATTGCTTCACAAATTCAATTAAATATTGGTATCGTATGACAGGTGCAAGATTAAGAAAAATCATTTTTTAAGAGCAATCAGGATTAATTATGGCACACGGGAATCTATGTAAATTACCTTCTAATGTTCCACCTGAATATAAAGAGGCTGTTTTAGAAACTTTGCATAAAATGGAAGAACATGTTAATAGTAGAGGTCATAGGTATGTTAAATTATTAAACTGTAAAGTTGATACATTTAATAATATTTGTGCGTATATGATCATAAAGATATGATAATGCTAATCGTTTATTTTTCAGATATAAATGGAATTTGAATGACTTTGAAATCGGATCACCATTGGGCCGTGGTAAATTTGGTCGTGTTTATTTAGCTAGAGAAAAAACCACACATTATATGGTTGCTTTAAAGACTTTATATAAAATAGAATTAATGAGAGGTCGTGTAGAGAAGCAAGTAATGCGTGAAATTGAAATTCAAACACATTTGAGGTGATTATACACAATTCTAACTGAGTTCTTTTAATTTTGTACATGTATTGCAATATTTTATTTTTAGGCATCCCCATATCCTCCAATTGTTAACTTATTTCCATGACCATAAACGCATTTATCTTGTGTTAGAATTTGCAGCTAGGGGAGAATTGTATAAAGAATTAAAGCGTCAACCCTATGAAAGATTCAACGAACACTTGTACGTATTTCTAAATGAATAATTTTCTTACTATGCTAAATTTTACACGCAATCTCTTGTTACTTAGATCTGCAAAATATACATATCAAGTTGCGGATGCATTAGAATATTGCCATCGAAACAATGTAATTCATAGAGATATAAAACCAGAGAATTTATTGCTTACATACGAGGGTGATATCAAATTGGCAGACTTTGGGTGGTCTGTTCATGCACCATCATCTAAGTGAGTATGGTTCGTTAACAAATCTTAGAAGGATATTTAAACTATTCACAATTTAAATGATTGCAGGAGAAACACGCTTTGCGGAACATTAGATTACTTACCACCAGAAATGGTAACAGGGCAAAATTATGACATATACGTTGATCATTGGTGTTTAGGTATTCTCTGTTATGAATTTTTAGTTGGTAATCCTCCTTTTCTAAGTGATTCTCAACAAGAAACATATGCTAAAATAAAAACTGTAAATATAGAATGGCCATCGGTAATAACACCAGGAGCTAAAGATCTCATATCAAAAGTAATCCTTATTCATGTTCCTTTGATTTGTGTTATAATTTTTTGGCGGGATTGTTTATATTTTTTTATATCTTGTTCACAGTTAATCAAGCGACAAAGTTCTGCAAGAATTTCTATGGCTGCTGTTAAAAATCATTTTTGGATTTTAAAACATAAGGACGCACATTCATGAAAAATGTTTATATATCTTATACCACTACATAATTCTATAAATGTGTTTTATACAATAACTGTAACAATTTTTCTACTTATCCAATAAAAGGAAGGTAAAATTAAAGAAATGAATTAAATTGTTTATTTTCACAAACATTAATAACGCAAATCTTATAATTACATTTAAAATAATAGTTGTATTAATTTCGGTAGTCAGAACTTTGAAATAATCGTTAAGGCTAATTTAGGTTGATATTTGCTATATCCAATGCAACTACAGTAGAACCTTGATGTACATGATTCTTAGAGCGAAATTTGTTTATTTCTTAGACAATACAGTTGAGATAATCGAAAATTCCGATAATCAAAATTTTGGTAATGGAGCTCGCAATGTGTAATAACGTTTGTATTAATGTATTAATAGGTGCTGAACAGATTTTCTAGTTTTTATCGCAAGAAAATAGCTGATGAATACGATTTATTCAGAGGTAAAACCGTAAATAAATATAATTATGGTAATGTATTGTATGAAATTGATGAACAGCAGCATAGCACGCATAACTGATAATAAAGGGAACGGAAGTTTAAAAGGTTGAGAAAATAAATATGTGGAATAGATTCGTAAATATCAGATTTAATAAATGTTACATAAATTTATTTCAACAGAGCTTGTAATTTTGAACTTTGATTGGACATTAAGATTTGATAACATGTAGATGTATAAACAATCATATTAACGGAGTAAAAGGACACGCATAAATCCTTAAATATTATAATGTTATCCTCTTAATAATCATACAAGGAATAAATATAATCATACGAATGTAATTATGCATTTGAAAGTTACAAAAATACCATTTGGGTTTCAGTCTTATTCATGTTGTAGTACAAACAGACTTTTTATGACAAGTTCCAACATGGTTCTACCAAAAAGTACTTCTCCAATATTAACAGTATTTAATCAAATAACATGTATCTCTTTCAAATGCACAACTAGTAGTAGTTAAATATGAAACAATATATAGTACAATATTTCTTCTGAAATCAGTTGGAAGCTTTCTGGAGATTCATTGTTTATAACATAATGGTTCGCGTATTATAATATAAATAGGACGTTCCCATTCATATGATTCCAATGGCATTTCATTAAAAAAAAACTAAAAATACACAACAAAAAATGTAACGTTCTTCTTAAAAGTATTGCACATTAGTCAAGAATACTGTACAATAATAATTAGAAGATGTGCCGCATGTAAAATGTAATGTTTAGAAAAAGAATATTTCATCTAATGACTTACATTTACCCGACTGTACTTCCATAATTTTTGGAATTAATCTTTCACATATGTGGTAAATGTAATTATAAATTAAACAAATAATAACAAAATTATCGCATTAATATCAACTAAAAAATAAATATATATATATGAATATATATGTGTGTTTTAACAAAAGGTGCGCAAACGCGTAACGTTAAAGTTACACGGAATAGCAGGTGTGCTCGATATTAGAAAGTTGGCGGTGAATTAACTCTAATATACATTGCATTATAAATAAAACTTTAACGGCGATAAACTTATATATAAATTGGCTTGACCGAAGGCTTGGTAGTGGTCATGTTTTCAACCTACACAGAGCTTTGTTACTTACACAATTATTCAATAAAATCTGTTATTAGTAATGAATTTATAAAGTCAAATTGATGTTACCATATATTGATATCTAATATTTTTTTGTTTTTACAGATTTTGATTATTTAAACGTCAACCACCATCTTCTTATGAATATCTGTATTTCCAACAACCTAGAATTTTAACATTACGAATATATTATGCAATTATTATAGTTTGAATCATTTTGTTCATAAATACTTACAGAACAGAATTCTTCAAAACTGATTTTTCCGTCTTCGTCTTTATCGGCAAATAATATTGTTTTATCAACTATTTGTTGAAGTTGTGTGTCTTTTAGATTATTGCCTACCATCATTTTAAGTACTTGGAATAATTCTCCATTGCTTATGAAACCATCGTTATCCATATCGTAAATTCTGAAGGCAAATCTTAATTTGCTCTCTTTATCACCCTGTAAAATAAGATATTTTGTTTAAATGGAATGTTAGAAGTTATTAAATAATATATTTTGCATACCTTAACGCTGAATTGAGAAACACCATGGATAAATTCTTTAAAGTCCACTTCTCCATTACCGTCTGCATCAAATATATCAATGACGCGTTGAACCAAAGGATTTTGTTGCAATTCTGGCAATGACATGAATTCATCAATGCTCAGGGCACCGCTGTTATCCAAATCTAACTTTCTAAAACGTTTTCCTAGTCTCCTAATTTCATCGACATCAACTGGGACATTAATTAATTTTATATTAGTAAGAAGAATTATTTCGCACATAATTTCAATAATGTTTGTATCATAAACTGTTATTAATATGATCACTTTATATGTGTAACTGTAGCACTATACAGTAAAGTATGAACAAATACAGGGTCAGAAACTTTATAAGTGCTATGTTTAGTTAGTGATAAAAATAAATTAGAGGCAGAACAGAAATTAAAAAGGGAAAAGCCTTTCGGTGCTACGCATCGAGATAATAATTCATTTCGAATTATACAACAAAATATTTTTATGATACTGTAAAAAAAGTAAATTCGATTCCGTTCGAACAGAAAAGATCGTGCAAACAAAATAGATTACTTGGTAATAAAAATAATATCTGGTATTGACTTACAATTCGAACATAATTCCATAGGCAATGAACTTTCGTTACCCTGTAAAAAAGAAAATGAATGAATTACATATTCCGTTAATAGCATAACAAACCTTGATAACAGCAATTATAAAATAGAATGTTTTTCTTAAGAAAATGGTACAAAAACAGGACAACATAATACTTTAACTTGCCGTCTTGTAGAATTAAAAGAAATTAAAATTTAATCAAACCGAATTACCATCGTGAACTCGAATCAGTTAACTTCTGTTAGAAATTCAGCAGAAAACGCCAAAATTGATCAGCAGACACTATTTTATGGTTGATGATCAATGAAAAAGTAGGGAACATAGATAGGAAACTGTGAGAAAAATTTGACTTCACGTGTATGTGCATGCATGAGACAACACACATGCATACATAACACCTAATATCATGTGTGTACGTATATAGGTACATATACCGAACAAAGGAGGCCCTTCAAAGTTTCAAATCATAATTGTTTTTATTTTATATTTTCATTAAATAATTTATTAAGAATGAACGAGAAGGCATTTGTCTGTAACCATTATTTGAAAGCAATAATATTTACTAGCCTGTTTCGCTTACAAGGACGAACAAAGTTATCAAGGACTTTGGCTCAGATTTATTTTAAACAGATACATATTCACCTGCTGTAAAATGAACCAATAAAAAGTCTGTCGCGTGATCTCAAGCGCTACCATTGTCGTATAAGGCATTGAGTATTCTTACAGAAGAGAAACTCCGATTTTCTTGATAATGAATCTCTAGTGCGCATGCGTTCGTAAATAGTAGCCACAGAAATCCGTATTGAAAGGCGCATGAGTATGCAAGTTTGCACATTATGAACTGCATTTGACATAGTAATATTTATGTTCTATTACTTAAACTCCGCAATATCTGCACACAAAGCATATAAAACTTAACTCAAATATATCAAAACATTCAGTTACACGACAAAAATAATTTTGCGAGTAACATTCAGTTCTTATACTTATGTATATTTGTTAAACATAGTTTTTCATCGTACTACATTTCAAACGTTGCTGCCCTTTCCAACGTTTCCAATTCTTCGCGTGCAGATTCTTTTGTTCTCTTTGATCCGGGAGTCCAGCACAAAGGAAGGAGACATCAATTCACAAAAACGGCAACACTGTCCCCATGTAGTTCGAAAATTTCGGGATCATGAATAGCAGAGCTTTCGACAAATGAGTTTCGTTTCTGTAAGAATGCTCTGTGGTGGCTTTGTAACTGCAATGATCTCAAGAAATTTCGATTGCAGTTATGGAGCCGTTACTGTATACAGTAAGTCTTCCTCTATGGTAAGTAATCGAAAATATTAGACATTTTCCCGTACACGCACCTCATCCATGACGACAATGATAAATATTTATCGGTTTGGTGGCCCGTTTTAGAGATGAATAAACCTGCTATGTTATTGAGGAAACATAGATACATGATGTATAGCTTCGAAGGAGATTACAGACGTAAACCACAACAAAATTTAGCCGGTGCGAGCAGGAGAGATGATAAAGCGGAAAAGTCACTACTATTGCAACATGCCCAATTGGAACGTTTAAAACGAGAGCAGCAGCGCAGAAGACACTATGCAGCCTTGAAAATTCAAGCGTTCGTTTGCGGTTTCATTGTTAAGAAGCGTACGAAGATAATCGTGAGGAAAGAATTTGACGAGTTGCAACAAACCACTGGTCTTCGAAATTTTAATTTGGAGGACTTGATAGTGTATTTTCGAAAATTATTATTCTTTTACGATTTTTCTCTGGATACCGGTAGACTGGTGTGGATGTTGCAACATTTCTTAAAGCATGAACAAGAAATCAAACAGAAGTGTGTAAATTGCCCCGAATGGTTGTGGAGACTAAGGTAACATTGACAGTATAAAAGAAAACATTCTAAACCTACCGTACTAATAAATTATTTTACAGATGGATGCTTCGCATGTGTATGCAACACAATTCAGAAGCCCTAATACATGGAGCCTTATACAGCTCACTGGCAATACCATTGAGGGCTTTAGAAACATTTACTAGTCGAGAGGATACAGAAAAGACTTTAGGAGAACACAGTTATAAATATTTAGAAATAATCTTTGTATATTTGATAAAACACAAATATTTTGATCGATTAAGGAAATTAATAGATGAAAAAGTTCCACCTATGTTAGAGCCCAGCTCTGTTGCGGCAACCCCACTATCAAAATATCTAGTGGACATGATAAAACGTCCATTGGATTTAATTGGATACCTAGATCAAAAGGACGATTTTGCCGAGCTCGTCTTAAAGGAGCTCTGTAGAAGCATATTATCGCCGAAAATGTCCGATTCAATTCGGATGTTTATTATTCCATCTCTGGCTGAATATAAAGAATTTCCATACGATCAGCTGATCGACTGCATCAACAGAGTTCAAATAGAGTGTACTATGAGTTTATTTTATTCCGTTTTATCTTTAGAATCAAATCGTTTGTGTAAGTATATATGTCAGCTGCGTCAGAGCATCAACAGAGACAAATACTAATGTTTTCCTATTGCAGCGACATACAAATCGAAGGACGTTCTAATCAATTACCTGCAAGTTCTCGCCGGGATAAGCTCGATGATAGTTCCTTTGGCTACCGAAGAGAACATAGATCAAGCGGATGATTCAGACACTGAGTCAAATGCTAGCATGATCGACGAAGAGCAAGCTGACATTCTGCACCAGTGCCTGGAAATGTTGAACGAGCAGCACCGTGTTCAGGAGATACTGTCAGCGGTGGATCGAACTAAAGATCCGGCGGTGTTGCAACCACTGTGCCAACTATGCCATCATTTGCTGATCACCAACAAACTAGCCACACATAAGTATAAACTGTTGTACATGCTCGCGTTCAGACCAATATTCCTGAAAAACTTATGGAACGCTCTGTTATCAGTTTCTCAAGTGTCGTTGTTCAGCGGAGCAACACCGCTGCTGCAGATCATGTCGCACGGGCTCGGTCTTTCGAGCGAGGACACGAAAAAGATCGTTCCGCTTCTAGTCGTGTTTTGTTCGCTATTTAGCTTGTTAATCGCCACGTTACACGACACAGAGTTTTTCGTTGAAACGACGGCGACGACGATGAGTGAGCAAACGTTAGATATGAACGGGCCGCAAGCTATGCCGTTCACGATCTCAGAGCTGGTGATGTTGTCCAGCCATCTGAAAGGTGTTTGCTTAGGCTTGGTGGAATTAGCGTTCCCTGATAGCAAACCGACCGTGCGAAACGATTACAAGGATGCGGTCCTCGGGTCATCCTGTCCGGTACCGAACCAGCAGGACACCAAAATCTGGACGCACCTGTTCAAGGTAACCGTCGGCCTATTACGCCAGCTGTACACCAGGGATCTGAGACAGCAATTTTGCCCGGAGGGACACTGGTTCGCCTCGAACATCCTGATACCCATCGACAAACCGCAGAATTTCACATTCGATAGACGTCGGCTACGGGAATATGTCCCGTTTCAAGGGCTCCGAGTATTCACCAGAGAGAAACTGGAAGAGGGCCCGCCATTGTCCTCAAGAGAAGTTCGAACGTTGACGCTGCTTCGCGAGATACCGTTCGTCGTGCCGTTCAACGACCGTGTGATAGTGTTTCAGTCATTGATCTATCGGGACAAGTCAGAACTACAAGGTGAAATGACACACTTCTTGCAAGGACCGTCGATCACGATATCGGTAAGGAGAAACTACCTCTACGAGGACGCGTTCCAAAAGTTGTCACTGGAGAAAGAGCCAGAGTTACGACTGAAAATGCGCGTGCAATTGGTCAATTCCGCCGGACTGGAGGAAGCCGGCATAGATGGCGGCGGCCTGTTCAGAGAGTTTCTATCGGAATTGTTGAAAACCTGTTTCGACCCCAATCGGGGCTTTTTCAGGCTCACCAAGGATAACATGCTGTACCCGAACCCGACGGTGCAATCGTTGGTCGACGATTTCCCGAAGCATTATTATTTTATTGGTAGGATATTCGGCAAGGCTCTCTATGAGAACCTGTTGGTCGAGCTTCCGTTCGCGGAGTTCTTCCTGTCGAAGATCGTTGGCCTTCAGTCGAACGTCGACGTGCATCACTTATCCTCGTTGGACCCGATCATGTACAGGAATTTATTATATCTTAAGAGTTACAAAGGCGACGTCGCCGATCTTGGCCTGGACTTCACGATTCTGTCGGACGAGCTGGGCGAACGACGAGTCGACGAGCTGAAACCAAGTGGCGCCGACATACCGGTGACCAATCACAACCGTATCGAGTACATCCATTTGATAGCTGACTACAAGTTAAATAAACAAATCCGGGCGCAGTGTTGCGCATTCAAACAAGGCATCAGCAGCGTGATCTCAATGGACTGGCTCCAGATGTTCAACAACAAGGAGCTGCAAGTTCTGATATCCGGTGCCCAGATCCCGGTTGACGTCAATGACTTGAAGTTGCATACCAACTACACCGGAGGCTACGCTCCCGAGCATCCTACCATCACCGCATTCTGGAAGGTTGTCAACGAGTTCAATGACCAACAGAAGAGTCTGTTGCTCAAGTTCGTTACCAGTTGTAGTCGACCACCGCTGCTTGGATTCAAAGTATGCCTATTTTCCAATTGCCTTTGAATTTCGTTTATACGCTTACAATTAAATTGCGTACTCGTTTCATCTATCCTTTCCTCTTTTGTTTCTTGATTCATTTCTTTGACAGAATATTCTTGTTATTGTTTCAGGAACTCGACCCACCATTTTGCATTCAACAAGCTGGCAGCGTAGATCACCTGCCGACCTCCAGTACCTGTATGAATTTGCTGAAACTCCCAGAGTTCCCGGACGAGAAGACTCTACGCGAGAAACTTTTGTATGCTATACAAGCCGGCGCGGGCTTCGAACTGAGTTAAGTTCCGTGTCCTTGGATTCTCACGAGCGAATTCTTTTTAGTTAAATCGGTACCTGATACCTGACTCTGTGTACATAAAAAGAAAAGAGAATTGTATGCGTAATCGGAGGACCAATCCGTAAACACAGACGTGGAGAAATACGACCACGCTCTTCTTAAGATGTATTTATTTTTCTTTCTCCAATTTACAAGAATATAATCAAGATACTTTTACAAAGGTAACGAAAAATTACCAGGTGGGGTGTGGAAGAAAGCTTTTATACGGTGTTGGTTTACACGTTAACGCGGCTCTTTGGGACCCATCGCGTCTGTGGTTACAGATTGAGTGCGTCTTCGAAATCTGAATGCAAATGTTGTAATATTTTATTAACGGTAAGAGCGATACCTTTACCAAGTGCTCCAAGTGTGTATCGTGTTCTCGTCATCTAGCGAATCAGAAACCTCTTGTTTCTATTCGAATCGCTCTTTCGCCCACATGATAGGTCGATGTTAGCGTTTCGTAGTGGGAGCAGAACATTTTTAAAGAATTTCAACATTGGGTTGGTTCGTCCTGTTCGGTACATGTATACAGTTCACGCGTTGTCCGTTCAACATCGAATTAAAGCGAACCACGGATGCAACGACAGTGTGCTATGACGTGTCCTCAATGACGAATAATATTTCAAAAATCATAGGTAAACGAAGAATTTTCTACGAAATTGTTTAATAACTGGTGACATCGTTTACAAAATTTTCAATTATAATTTCGACATAAGGGAAATGATTAAATTGATTTTTTTACCATTATAGTGTCATTAAAAAGTCTATTTTTATAATTATCAAGCATACTGGCGAAAGATAATGCTTTTGATTACTCAGTAGCTCTAGCATAAACATATTCGAACGAAATATAAGATAACGATTGCAATTACGAACTTTGAGTCAAGATGTCACACTTAGCGCATACTTCCTTGTCGCATAACGTTCCCAACGTGTTGTGTTTCACTTTAATGTTAAGTTCGAAGTTCGACGGACAATGCCTACATATACACGTGTATGCAGACACAAGCATATGTATATGATATCTATGCATATACGTATATACATGTACATTTTTTTGTTATAACTTCTCTGCCCTTGGTAACATTTCTGTCTACAACTGTAAATTGTGTATATTTTTATGTTTTGTATTCGCCACGAAAGTCGTGCGACGCTATATCCGCATGGAGTTTACATGACAGGATAGGATATATGTATTTATAAATTCGTTAATATAGCGTGTAAATAAAAAAACCGAAGTCCTCGAGTGTTACACACATTTATGGAAAAATACATAATTTGAACGTTACACATCAGCCTTTCGTACTTTATTCAAAGAGAGTATATAATAGTATAAGAACGAACGGAGAGAATAATATAATGCAGAGTCACAGAACCGAGTAAAGTTCCTCGGCCTAGGACGATTGAACTCAGGTGTGTATTGTCGCACACGAACACAGACAACCGTCATCTCATCGTTCACCTGGTCATGTTTTCTCCTCATGGCGCTCGTTTGCCGATTTGCGACTATAAGAATCGCACACACACGTTCAGTGGTTAGGGAGCTTATGTCATTTGTGTAACATGGCGTCCAACGAAAATAGCGATTCTCAGAAAGTTTTGGAGTTTAAAATCTACAAGTACTCCAGCTTTTCGTCATCCTACGTGCCAGAGTAAGTATCTCTCAATTACCTAACGGTTTGCTGGCAAGTACAAATTCGCGATTATAGGCTGAACGAACGGGTATTCGTTGCAAGCGAATCTCTCTAACCTAACGTAACCGCTACAATGTAAGACGAGCACGTTCTATACGTGGTATTATTAAAGAAACGAACAGCCAGATTGCGCCGGATTTCCCGACGAATTTTTGATTGACATTCTTGACTTTTTTCGCAGAAACATCCTCTTCGACAAACCATCGGATCAGACATCGCGGTGGTCGTCTGATATTGACAATCATCCACAGGTAAACATAATTTCAAATTCCAACGTACCACATGCGTTTGTAATTCAATAAACGATTCTGAACTCTCGAGATTATCCTAAATACTGATCTCCCTTAAGATTCTCGCTTAATGTTGGTAAAATAATTTAAAGATCTTATCTGTTGTTTAGTTTCTTATATTGAAGTTGCAATGCCCATCGATCGTGAAAACAATTACATTTGGAAAATACGAGAAAACACATGTATGCAACATAAAAAAGTTTAAAGTATACGGCGGCTTGGAATCGGAGAATATGATGGAGCTGTTAGAGAGGTGAGTCAGAAAGTTGTAACGTAAAGGTATACAGATAATAGAACTGTTATTGTCTTTTTCAGCGGATTGAAGAACGATTCTACGTCTGAGACGTTTGATTTAAAACATATACTGGGAAATAAGGGCAATTACTTTCCAGTTAGATATCTAAAAATTCTACCGTTGCAATCATGGGGTCCCAGTTTTAATTTTTCTATCTGGCATGTACGATTAACTGGAATTGATGATCCTAAAATAGTTAAACCTAATATCGAATGGTTTAATGTGGTATGTAAAACAACATATTTTCACGAAATATTGTTGCTTCTTTGTTTAAAGATACGGATGACCGTTTGTTTCAGTATCGTCAGAAAGAAGTAATAAGACTCTGTATGAAACACTTCAGAAGATTGGAGCAACCAGAGATCGTGGAAACGTTACAAAGAGTTACAGGGGTTTCATTGGAGGATGTTAGACTGACTATGTTATATGAGTTGTTAGTAACGAAGGGGGATTATCTGGAAGTTGAACACTTTATAAGTAACATTGTGATGAGTGAGTTTTCACCTATTCCTTTGCTACGATGCAACAAAATAAATTTCTACAACCTTAGAAAGTAGTTCGATTTCCATTACAGTGGGCCTTTTAAACGATTACATTCATGCCCAAACCTACAGAGCGGTCTGGACAAAATTGTCGACGGACGATCCGAAACCCGGGATGAGAGGCGGTCATCAAATGGTACTTGACCCCACCGCAGAACTCGTGTACCTCTTCGGAGGATGGGACGGAAATAAAGATCTTTCAGACTTGTGGGCGTACAATATAGCAACCAACAAGTGGACCATCATTTGTAAAGATGCAGAAGCTGAGGTAAGCCGTAGTAAACGAATTGTCGAATGGAGATGAAGTAGTTCGTACGAACTGACTCGAGCATATCAAATATCTTACCTATCATCGATTTATAGGATGGACCGAGCGCGAGATCCTGTCACAAGATGTGTCTGGACCCCAAGCGTCAACAACTTTTTATTTTGGGAAGGTATCTAGATACCCAGTATAGAAATTTGGAGAACTTGAAAAGCGATTTTTTCGTTTATGAAATCGGAAAGAACAAATGGACTCAAATATCGGAAGACACGGAGGCTGTGGGTGGGCCGGAGTTAATCTTTGATCATCAAATGTCCATGGACGTGGAAAAACAAACGATTTACATTTTCGGTGGCCGTGTTGTCGTCTCTCCGAACATGTAAGCTTCATTAACCCGTAGGCAATCAACTCGTAGACACATTACCGTATTAAAACGTTTCTTTAATCAACAGTTCCGAGGAATACGAGTACCGTATGATACCAAACTCGACCGAGCCAATCTTTTCTGGACTGTACTCTTACAACGTGCTTACGTCTACGTGGACCAAATTAGCCTGCGACATTGCAAGGCCGGGCCCTCCAAATGTTCCAACTATCCGATCCAGAGCCGGCCATTCTATGCTCTTTCACCCGGTATGCGTTGCAAACGTTTCCCGAGTAATACTCATCACTTAAGTGTAATAAAAATTAAACTTTTACGGTCTATCGCAGGGTTCGAGGAAACTATACATTTTTGCGGGTCAAAGGGGCAAAGAGTATCTCAGCGATTTCGTTACCTATGAGATTGATACGAATCACATAGAGCATATAAATTTCAATGACTCTAGTTCAAGAGATAACCACGTGCCAGCAGCTGGTTTCACGCAGAGAGCCACGATCGATCCCGAATTGGGAGAAATTTATGTTTTGTCGGTTCGTCTCAGAAATGTTTGATCGACGAATAAATCTACACATGTACTGCGTTAGATTTTTAAATGTTCTTTTTCCTCAGGGTTTGAGCAAAGACAAGGATAAGAGAGACGATAACGTGCAGAACTCCTTTTGGGTGTACAATATCAAGAATAACAAATGGTCCTGTATCTATCGGCATGAGAACGTCGGGGAGAAGTACTGGAATAAAATGCAAGACTTCGTCCCATGTCCGCGATTCGCGCACCAGTTGGTGTATGATCATGTGAAGAAGGTAGACATAGTTTTTCAGGAAACCATAATAAAAAAAACACGTTTATCATTGATATCGTTTTTCTTAGGTACATTTCTTATTCGGAGGAAACCCGGGAAGATCTTGTCTCCGAAATTTGCGGCTCGACGACTTCTGGCAGTTAAAGTTGTGCAGACCCTCCCAGGAGGAGATCATGAAGAGGTGCAAGCTACTGATCAGAAAGCATAAGTTTAAAGAGCTGGCCTTGAGTAGCAGCGTCGAGGCGCTCGAGTATCTCCAGACCCAAGTTTCTGAGATCATCGATCACAACGACATGGAACAAACGAAAGAGGTATTGACTATATTATTTATCAGTAACGGGTGAGAGTATCGTTTTTATTGATGATTTCACATACTGAACTCTATGCTCATTTCTTCGTTACAGTTTCAATTGTTAACGTCTATTCTATTCAGAGAACAGAACACGTTATTAGGAGAGGCCATGAACTCGAACGGTTCAGGAAACTTGTTAGAGAATTTCTGTCATATGAGCGAGCCTAGGTACGATCAGAACGGCCGCGATGTTCACACGCTGAGAACCGAGTTGTACGACAAACTGACCGAATTCTTTTCTGAGTCGTTGACACAACCGCGCGCAAATCTAATCGATCTGTTGCCATTATGAACCGGCATTGACCGATAGCCCGTCGAACAATGCTACTGAACACACACACAGAAAAGCAAAGAAAGATTCCGTTTGTTTTCTTGCGATGGTGTTTACCATATGACAGTGAAATGTGATTTTATCTTTAAACAAAAAGAAAAAAAAAGAAGGAAATCGTTATTTTTATATAGTGTAATTCTTTGTATCGTTTTAAGAAGAGAGAGGATTTACACAACATATACTATACACGTACGAGCTAACATATAAATATTATACATATTCATAGATTCAATCTAATTTCATTCGCGGAGAAAACAGCTTAACACAGAGAATTATGCTAATATATACTTCATTGTGATACTTTTAAGTAAAGTCTCGTCTAATAGGGTTAAACCTATATGTCTTTTATATGGAGTTTTCGTTTGCATTGAACTGTTGTAATTGCTCTTGCCGTGTGTTTCATAGCTATTTCATATAATCTCTAGTTATTATTTCATGGAACGCGAACAATGTTTTTCTATAGCGTGCTGTACTATGTATAAAACTAGCTTTATTTTCTAACCCATACACGTCCTAGTTAGTGTGCCAAGATGCATTTATAATTATCTGCGAATAACATTTTATTTCACCGGGTAACGAAATTCTCCAAAAGAAAATCAGTTCTCAGTTGTCCCCAATGAAATGGATCTTCACAGATCTTCATGAAACGAAAACTCTCGCTCTATTAGACGACATATTAGAAATCATATATATTCTTCTATTTTGCTGGCTTCGACTTTCTCACTATTTCAAATATTTTATACAATTTATAATCGCGTCTGAGTAGCTGCAACTTAGTATCGAGGAAATACCTCACGAGAGAAAACTTTATAAACTAAAGATAAATCCCGTGATCGTAAAAAATACATAGGCAGTAACGCGAATTGTCTTTAATCTTCCTCATCCTAACTCGCTACTCTTAGATTATACTATTTTTTTTTCAAGTATAATATATCACCGGTTTAAATATTCAATGCTATGGACAAACATAAAATATAAATATTCCGTTGCTTGTACGATAGAAATTTGTATGATGATCGACTCGTTGCGCAATCTTTCTTTTTATTATCTATACGATATACATGTATAAATATACATATAAATACACATACAATAATAGAACTTAATATGGTAGAATCTATAACGATATCATAGATTCTCATATATGTTCTACTATATTAAGCGAATAACTAAAGCCTTCATTATTGTTATCGATTGTTTGTACTGTAAACGTTATGCGATGACACTCGCGGTATCGTGCATCAAACGTCTTGTATATAGCATCGCTTTGCCGATATATCTGTTGTAAACGGTTATATTTCTAGTTTCGTTGCGGACGTACAAGAAGTATGTCGGACGAAATGAAATTGAGAGAGAGAGAGAGTGTGTGAAAGAGAGAGAGCCTGGTGCGTGGAAAAGTGCGCGAAATTCAAATAGCATCCTTGTATATAGAACTATTTACTCGTCGACGGGACGAAGCGATTGTACAATTCGGTTATAGGTTAGGGTAGTGCGAAACTTTGTAAAAAAAAAACACGATGAGAACTCGAGACAAGATAGATTAGAATAAAAAAATGAAATCGAGTAGCGAGAGTTTCGTAAATTGATCTTGCTGGAGAAGATCATCTGTCGCGATTCTTGTCCGAAAGAATGGCTGTTATACTTGTTGCTCGCATATTGGTGTACTGGACAAGCGTCTTCAATATATATCTGTCGCGTTCGAATACTGACAAGTAGGATTGCGAACATTTCAACGACGCTAGCGAGGTCAACGTAACGTAACATAACATACGAATTGGGTCGGGCCTTAGGCAATCGCGGTTAATTTAAATCTTGGACAAGAATGCGCTGTAAACGCGTAATGTTCGCAATCCGCTGACATATTTGGACACATACATTGTATAGTCGACTACAAAAGATACTTCCACCGTGTTGTGTTGTATGCGCACACATACACATCTAACAGACACACGAACACACACCACACATCTAACACACACACACACACACACACACACACACACACACACACACACANGCAATCGCGGTTAATTTAAATCTTGGACAAGAATGCGCTGTAAACGCGTAATGTTCGCAATCCGCTGACATATTTGGACACATACATTGTATAGTCGACTACAAAAGATACTTCCACCGTGTTGTGTTGTATGCGCACACATACACATCTAACAGACACACGAACACACACCACACATCTAACACACACACACACACACACACACACACACACACACACACACACACACGTGTAACGAGATATCAGAATTGTCTCAGGATTTTATCTCATCGTTAGATTATCAAAATCGACGAGAACGTTGGATAGGAACTGTAAAAGACGTGATATTCGAAGTTCTAGTCAACTAATGCGCGATTACGGGAGGCATCATCGTCGAGAACTGATCGGACTGAACACGGCGAGCGCACGATTTCTAACGACATCAAATTATTATTATCATACATACAGTCGCTGCGCGCTTTATACTTCCATTGTATTTCTACGAACCATTCGCTTCTATCCGAATTACTTTTCATTGATTACTTAACACCGGACTGCGGATGTTTATGCATACATAGGTATATATATATCCACGTGGCAGTTAACAAATAATGATATCGAACGGTTCTATTAGACTCCATAGAAGATAATTTTGTTAAACTATATTTAGACTTTTACTACGTGTACTGAATGTTATACAAACGTGTTGTTGCTATAAACGCGTAAAATTCGCAGTCTGTCCGTCACTCCGTACTGTGCTGTTTCGAAGGAAAACCGAAACTTACCATCTACGTTGAACAGGAGAAACCTGCATTATCTGTCATTGCCTATTGTTATTAATGACAGGTAGGAAACGTGCGAAGCCTGCGGGTGGCCTCCTTCGCGAACAGCACGGTCGTTTTCCAGACAACATTTTTTCCTTATTTACTGGCAAACTTTATATCGTTGTAACATTTAAACATAATCATCAATTTTTATGTTCAAATATAATCGTTTCGTTAACGTCGATCAAATGCGTTTATTCAAATCCTACCACCATATTTAATCATCGATCGTCTATCGAGCATCACTGTTACATTAACGGCTACATTCAATTCAATCATTCATATTGTACATTGTACCCGACAGAAAAACTTCCACGCGAGTTTAAAAGCAAAGAAATTGACCCAGAAAGGTCCAAACAAGAATGGAAGACGTTGGAGAAGTTCCAGATGCTCCGCCGGACGCAATCGGATGCAAAACATTACCACAAAACACATTTAGGCTAGAAAAGGTATTCGCTCGCTATTCTGTAAAAATTTGTCGATTCAATGGTCCTGTTTTCCAAGTTCGACACGATGAAAGTGCAAGACATGGTGGAGTTCAAGACCAGAAGATCGAAGATCGACCACGAGAAACGTCCGCACGATTGTCGGATCAACCATAAATGCACATTGGAGCAACCGCAAAGCTTTTACTTCGCGAGAATGATGGACTTCGCGGAGAGATTGCCCGAGAACAGCATGGCCCCCGTATGCGATTTCAAATTACGCGCGATCGAGAGATTAGAATGCTATTTACTACCGTATTNGAACATTTCAACGACGCTAGCGAGGTCAACGTAACGTAACATAACATACGAATTGGGTCGGGCCTTAGGCAATCGCGGTTAATTTAAATCTTGGACAAGAATGCGCTGTAAACGCGTAATGTTCGCAATCCGCTGACATATTTGGACACATACATTGTATAGTCGACTACAAAAGATACTTCCACCGTGTTGTGTTGTATGCGCACACATACACATCTAACAGACACACGAACACACACCACACATCTAACACACACACACACACACACACACACACACACACACACACACACACACGTGTAACGAGATATCAGAATTGTCTCAGGATTTTATCTCATCGTTAGATTATCAAAATCGACGAGAACGTTGGATAGGAACTGTAAAAGACGTGATATTCGAAGTTCTAGTCAACTAATGCGCGATTACGGGAGGCATCATCGTCGAGAACTGATCGGACTGAACACGGCGAGCGCACGATTTCTAACGACATCAAATTATTATTATCATACATACAGTCGCTGCGCGCTTTATACTTCCATTGTATTTCTACGAACCATTCGCTTCTATCCGAATTACTTTTCATTGATTACTTAACACCGGACTGCGGATGTTTATGCATACATAGGTATATATATATCCACGTGGCAGTTAACAAATAATGATATCGAACGGTTCTATTAGACTCCATAGAAGATAATTTTGTTAAACTATATTTAGACTTTTACTACGTGTACTGAATGTTATACAAACGTGTTGTTGCTATAAACGCGTAAAATTCGCAGTCTGTCCGTCACTCCGTACTGTGCTGTTTCGAAGGAAAACCGAAACTTACCATCTACGTTGAACAGGAGAAACCTGCATTATCTGTCATTGCCTATTGTTATTAATGACAGGTAGGAAACGTGCGAAGCCTGCGGGTGGCCTCCTTCGCGAACAGCACGGTCGTTTTCCAGACAACATTTTTTCCTTATTTACTGGCAAACTTTATATCGTTGTAACATTTAAACATAATCATCAATTTTTATGTTCAAATATAATCGTTTCGTTAACGTCGATCAAATGCGTTTATTCAAATCCTACCACCATATTTAATCATCGATCGTCTATCGAGCATCACTGTTACATTAACGGCTACATTCAATTCAATCATTCATATTGTACATTGTACCCGACAGAAAAACTTCCACGCGAGTTTAAAAGCAAAGAAATTGACCCAGAAAGGTCCAAACAAGAATGGAAGACGTTGGAGAAGTTCCAGATGCTCCGCCGGACGCAATCGGATGCAAAACATTACCACAAAACACATTTAGGCTAGAAAAGGTATTCGCTCGCTATTCTGTAAAAATTTGTCGATTCAATGGTCCTGTTTTCCAAGTTCGACACGATGAAAGTGCAAGACATGGTGGAGTTCAAGACCAGAAGATCGAAGATCGACCACGAGAAACGTCCGCACGATTGTCGGATCAACCATAAATGCACATTGGAGCAACCGCAAAGCTTTTACTTCGCGAGAATGATGGACTTCGCGGAGAGATTGCCCGAGAACAGCATGGCCCCCGTATGCGATTTCAAATTACGCGCGATCGAGAGATTAGAATGCTATTTACTACCGTATTGTTCTTATTCGAATGTTACAGGAATGGGAGGAGAACATTCGAAGTTTGATAGCGGATCGGTTACGGTTGAAATACGTTGTCACTTTCGAGGAGCAAATGAACGAGGCGAAGACGCGTTACGAACGGGTGATGCACGAACAGGCAGTGAGACGCACAATCGCGTTAGAGTGCGAGGAACGATGCAACGAGAATCTGATACCGATACCGCCGTACAAACTAGCAGGCCGAACGAACCTTTATCCGAGATACTTGAGAAACCGTTGCGTGATAACGAAGAAATTCTACTTACCTCACAAGCTGATGAGAAACATAATCGCCAGGGCATACTTACTGATGCCGCGATGGATATGCGACTTCGGCCGTTACCGAGAATTGGGATATCTCGATTTCAACAGGTTGCACACTTTGTCACATTTAGTTCAACAGTTCAACAAATTTACGATCACACTGTGTTCCATTTACACAACGTGCCGGCATGGAAAAGAATATGGCACGAGTAATAATGTTTGCGCGCGCAAATGAAATTTTCTAGATTTTATTATTCACAGAATCATAATCCTTTCGCGTACGACCGCGAGTAAGTCAGCACTCGAGCAAAATGTCTCGCGATGAAACAATACCGACTAAAGAGTTTTGTTCGTCGTGCGACATGTTTAAGGTTCCTGGACTTAGTGGAAATGGATACGAAAAAAGGCGCGCTCGACGTCACTGGCACCTACTATGGCGACATCGTGCGGCTGATCTCGCAACCACGTTACCTCTACGACGTACCCCCACTCACTCTACCCGATTTCCTCAACTGTGCCGACAATTTGCTCGGCTTACAAGTCGTTAAATGCATGATAAACACCATCGAACATCTGCTCGAAGTTTTTAGCAACCGGATCACCGTCCCGCTATTGAAAGTATAAACCTTTTGTTCTATCACGGTTGTTCTCAAAGTTGCCTCGTTACCGACCGTGCGAATTTATATCCAAAAGCACAAACCAGGTATAGAAATACATCAATTGCACGACTGAATCTTCTGTATATATATATTTACATATATATATCATAAATTGTTGATTCTAAATCTGACAGAAGATTCGGTCGTGTGATTATATATATATCATAAATATGATAGCATTATCATAAATTGTCGATTCTAAATCTGACAGAAGATTTGGTCGTGTGATTATATATATATATAAATATATATCGATCGCTAAATCCTCGATGAATGACCATGTTAATGCATCGGATTCCGCGACACGAAATTTCATACCATAGTTGGTCTATTTCTACATCTAGTCTATGGTCAGAATCGTCGAGAGGTTCAAAAACATATCGAATTATTTGAATGATAGACAATATTTTTTTCTGTTTGTCGTAGCTGCAACTTAAGTGTGAAAGGAACGAGCTGTTTCTCAAACCATCGATTCGGGAGATTTGTCTCTTTTTCCACGATGTCATGGATCAGATCCGCAATGTTGGACAGCAATTACCGACCCTGTCGTCTTGGGTCAATGTAAAATCTTACCTCGACCATATTAAAGTCATATTACCTGAATGGTACTTGGAGGAAGCTTATGAACGTCTCACGCTTGTTCTGGACGAGACTTATCGGCCATTGATTGATTACGTTGAGAACCTGCGAGAACAGTTTCGATTCATCTTCGATTCAAAGACACGGGATGAATTTGTAGCGTTCGCACGCTTAGGGGTTCGTTTCAGAGAATGTGTGGACAAGGTCGAGGATTTCAATCGAATTATTCGTATGATTCATGGCATGGTAGGTAAACATGTATTTCCATTTCAATTATACACATCACGGATCGTTGTTTTCTTCGGACATATTCAAAACTACATACAAGACGATCCCCGATCGAAACGATTCGCGCGCCATCTTGATTCGACGCGCGGAAGCTTACGTTCAAAATTCAAATTCAAACGTTCGAATCTTTTGCGCGTATCGGAACAGAATGTTTGACAGGAAAAACGTGTTTCAGCCGCACCACGAGTATTTCCCCGTGGGATTCATCGATCAGGCTGCCGCAAAAGCGGGTCTCCTCGAAAGCACAGAAGCCGTGCGCCAATCAATTATTGCAGAACTGGTGGAAAGTCACCGGTACTTCAACCTTGAAATCTGTAACACTTTCGAGGCAATAAAAAAGCGAGCTTTGAACATACCGAACACTACTAAAGAGTTGCTCGAATTGGGTAATTATTTCGCATCGAAAAGAACTTTAGGACCAAAAATGTCAGTGTTGAAATGTTAGGCGAGTACATGATAATGGCCGCGTCGACGACGATGAGGTCGCTGGAAGAGAAGATCACCCTGTCCTTGCGCATGATGGCAGCCCTAATCGAAATGACCGCTTTATCCAAAGATCATATCGAATTGAACAACACCACTATACACTGGTTGAAGCGCATCCGACCGATATTCGAGCAAAACAGCGCCATGTACGAGCAAGTCAAATTCGAACTGGAGGAGAAGCTTCATAACAAGGCTGAGCTTTTGAACAAGGACGTCGAAGACGAATTTCCTAGGTTAAAAAATAAATGGATATTTACGTTAACCATGCATGGGGAACTGCTTGCTATTATCCGGTTCATTGCTTCCAGATTAGAGATTATGAACGACATGGACGACGCGACTCGAATTTGCGAGTACATAGAATTCATGAGAAAGTTCGCGCGCGATTTAGATCGCATGGACGTGAGGGTGAAATGGATCAACGATGAAGAGATGTTGTTCAAGTATCCGCTTTCCCAGTATCCGCGGATCAAAGAGCTCAAAGATAACATAATGCCGTATTATAATTTAATTTATCGCGGATACCAATGGCAGAGGCATCTCGGTGTCTGGTTGGACGGACCGTTCGAGTATTTGGATTCATCCGACATTGAGAACAAGACTACCGAGTACTTCAGCGATTTCACGAAGATCAGCAAACAGTACAGAACGAGAATCAAAATGGAGCTCGCGACTAATTATCCGTACGGGTAAGAAGTATATCAGCTTCACCTGATAATAGCAACCCATTTCATACCGATGAATTTCTTTATATAGAAGTTAATAGGTTACACGAATACTTGGTAGCTAAGTTATTTAGTTATTATTAGTTATATAGTTAGTTATTATAGTTATTTCCAACTTCAACTCGAAATTAACAGATAAATCAGTTTCGTAGGCTCGCCAGACGATACGGATCCCCACCAGCAACCGGCGCCCCTTAAGCTTTGCCATCAGCTGGTCGAGAACATCAAGTGGTTCAAGGTGATCTTCTATGCGTGAACAATTTTCCACGATAATTAACTATCTCGGCCGTTTCCAAATGAATAATTATCGATCAGCATTACGTGCCTCTGTTGGTGGTGTTTCGAAATCACGCGTTGAAGCAAATCCATTGGGACGACATGTCTGCGGTGGCTGGGTTCGATCTGACTCCCAACGCGGGAACAACCTTCCGAAAGATCATCAACATGAATTTGATGGAAGATTTAGAAAAGTAACAAGATATTAGTGATGTCCAGAATAGGATAATATTGTCGACATTTCCTTTTGTCGTAGATACGAAATGATAAGCACAAGCGCGTCCAAAGAACTCATGCTCGAGGAATCATTGGCGAAGATGATCACCGAATGGGATGACATAGTCTTCACCACTGTGTCGTACAAGGACACCGGTGTAAACATCTTGACGCAGCTGGACGACATCCAAGCGCTTCTAGAAGAGCAAATCGTGAAAGTTCAAGCGATGCGAGGATCCGCGTTCGTCAAACTCATAGAAGAACAAGTGAAGAACTTCTACATGTTGCTGCTTCGAATACAATCGACCATCGAGGAATGGGCCAAGGTATTTTCTTAATTCGGTCGATTTCTATCTTTGTCGACATTCTCTGTTTTAGGTACAAGTACAGTGGATGTACCTGTTGCCGATCTTTTCGAGCAAGGATATCGTGGCACAGCTGCCCGAAGAAGATATACTGTTCGTTCAGGTTGACCGAATATTCCGTAGTGCCATGAACGGTGTCGCTAGAGAGCCCCATGTTCGGGAGACCGCAGGCTCCGTAAGTCGAAGATCAATCGATTGAAAGCGATACGATCACCTAATTCTCTAGGTAGGCCTTTTAGAAATCATGCAGGAAGCGAACATCTTGATGGAAAAGGTGAACGATGGTGTACTGAATTATTTGGAGAAGAAGAGGCTCTACTTTCCACGATTCTTTTTCCTGAGCAACGACGACATGCTCGAGATACTGTCGGAGACGAAGGAACCTTTGCGTGTTCAGCCACATCTTCGAAAGTGCTTCGAAGGAATAAATAAGCTGGGGTGAGAAATGGTCTAAAACAGTGATGAGCAACCCGCATGTGCAACCTTACGGGCCGCATGTGGCGATAGGTCTTCGTTTGCCAACTGCATGTAAAATATTGTTCATCACTGGTCTAAAAGATGAAAAAGCAGATCTTCTACTCCGAGCAATTTATCTCTATCCGCAGGTTCGACGATCATCTGGAAATCTATTCAATGTTCAGCGAGGATCACGAGGAAGTGGGGATGCAGGATAAAATTTCAACAAGCGCGGCGAGAGGTTGCGTGGAGCGATGGCTTGTGCAGGTATACTCGCTTTTAACGGAGGACGCATAGAGACAAACCACACTGTATATAACGATGTAAAGTCAAAATTTGTATACCATGTGTCGTGTTAGGTAGAAGAGCAAATGATGAAGTCCGTGAGACACGAGATCCTGATGAGCTACCGGGATTACGAGGTGAACCTGCGGCCGGTATGGGTGCGCATCTGGCCGGGTATGGTTGTTCTGTGCGTCTCTCAGATCTACTGGAGCATAGAGGTTCAAAACAGTCTCATGACGCATATGCTGTCGACGATGGAAACGCTTTATGATAAACTGATGAAGCAGATTTTAGAGATGGTCAATCTAGTCAGAGGTGTTGTTATTCTCGAAAGTTGTTAACTCCTGAATTAGACGACCGTGAGTATTCTTGCTAAGCGGGTTACCATTCCTCAGGGCAGTTGACCAAACAGAATCGGACCACCTTGAACGCTCTGATCACGCTCGACGTGCACGCTATGGACGTGGTAAAATCGTTGATCGACAAGAAGATCACGAACGAGACCGACTTTGATTGGTTGTCGCAGTTGCGTTACTACTGGGAGGACGACGTGTTTGTCAGGATCATATACACAACGGTATCATATGCGTACGAGTACCTCGGGAACACGCCTCGCCTAGTTATCACACCGTTAACCGACAGGTACAGGCGTTGCCAGGTTAGCGTTCGGATCAAAGATTCAGGCAGGTTACCCGCAGGTGTTACCGAACGTTGATCGGCGCGTACTCGCTGCATCTGAACGGTGCACCGGAAGGTCCGGCGGGTACGGGGAAAACTGAGACAACCAAAGACTTGAGCAGAGCGCTGGCGGTGCAATGCGTCGTTTTCAACTGCTCCGAGGGTCTCGACTACAAGAACATGGGCAAGTTCTTCAAGGGTCTTGCCTCGTGCGGCGCGTGGTCTTGCTTCGACGAGTTCAATCGGATCGATCTGGAAGTGTTATCCGTGGTGGCACAACAGATCCTCTGCATCGTGCAAGCGGTGCGTGGCAATCTACAGACGTTCGTGTTCGAGGGGACCGAGCTGAGCTTGAACCCGGCTGTTTACGTCTGTATCACGATGAATCCCGGGTACGCGGGTCGCTCGGAGCTGCCTGACAATTTAAAGGTGTGTAAATGGCGCACAACCGTCGTCAGCCACTTTTCAATCGACGTCGTTTGCCGTAGGTGCTCTTCAGAACAGTGGCTATGATGGTGCCCGACTACGCGATGATAGCAGAGATATTCCTGTACTCGTCCGGCTTCAGCACCGCCCGAGAACTCTCCACGAAGATCGTTACCACGTACAAACTGTGCTCCGAGCAGCTGTCCAGCCAGTCGCATTACGATTACGGGATGCGAGCGGTGAAGACGGTGCTAACGGCCGCTCAGAATATCAAGCTGCAATTCCCGGACGAGGACGAATCGATACTTCTGCTCAGATCGGTGATCGACGTCAACCTGCCCAAATTCTTGGCCCACGACGTGCCCCTGTTCCAAGGGATTGTGTCGGACCTGTTTCCCGGGCTGGAGTTGCCCGCGCCGAGCTACGACACGCTCCTCAAAGCCGTGCGGTCGGTCACCGAGTCCCGAAACCTGCAACCGGTCGATGGTTTCTTGCTGAAGATCATACAGACCTTCGAGATGATGATCGTCCGTCACGGGTTCGTTACCGATCCTCTGAACACACACACACAGTCAAGGATATATATGTAAATCGTTTGAAATTTCCAACAGGTTCATGCTGGTCGGCGAGCCATTCGGCGGGAAGACGTCGGTGCTACGTACGTTGGCTGACGCGTTGACTGCGATGCACCATCAGGGCGACGAAAACGGCGCGGTGACCAAGTATTTCACGATCAACCCGAAATCGGTCACTCTCGGCCAGTTGTACGGGTTCTTCGACCCGGTCTCGTCCGAGTGGACGGACGGTATTTGCGCGGTGGCCTTCCGTAATTACTGCACCGAAGACACGCCCGATCGCAAATGGATCATCTTCGACGGGCCGGTGGACGCGGTGTGGATCGAGAATCTGAACACCGTGCTGGACGACAACAAGAAGCTTTGCCTGACGTCGGGCGAGATCATGCAGATGTCGGGCACCATGTCGATGATCTTCGAGGCGATGGATCTGCAGCACGCCTCGCCGGCCACGGTGTCCCGCTGCGGAATGATCTACATCGAATCGCGAGTTCTCGGCTGGAGGCCGTTCGTTCGCTCCTGGCTGAACAAACTGAACCCGGAGTGGGCCGGCCGTTATCTGGACAACATCGACGAGCTGTTCGAATGGCAGATGGATCCTTGCTTGGAGTTTCTTAGAAAACAGTGTCGCGCGACGATCACGGCCGGTCAGATCCACCGGGTCGTTACAACGACGATCCTGTTCGAGATGCTGATGGAAGACGCGGTCGAACAGAACCCGAAGACGTTCGACCAGTTTATGTTGCCTTGGCTACAGGCCACGATGGTGTCTGCGTTGATCTGGGGCGCAGCCGGTACCCTCGACTACGACTCCCGGACGAAGTTCAACGCGTATTACATGTCCATGTGGAAGAACGAGCTGTCGGAGCATCCGATGCCCGAATTCCTGACTGAAAACCTGATCTCGTTTCCTGTCGACGACACGATTCACGACTGCTTTTACACGTACCGCGGCAGAGGCGCGTGGCGGCGTTACGTGGACGTCGCCAGACAAGAGGAGTTTCTCGACACCGGAAGCATCGTTCAGCTCACGGTGCCCACCATCGATACCGTCAAGTATCAGACTCTGTTCGAGAAGCACGTGCGTTGTCGCCAAAGATTTCTCTTGTACGGCGAGACCGGCACCGGGAAGAGCGTCTACATCAAGGATCTGCTGATGAATAAACTCAGCGAGACGGAATTCCTGCCGAATTTCATCAGCTTCACGCCTTATATCACGGCCGCTCAGACTCAAGAGCTGGTCACGTCGAAGCTATACAAGAGACGTAGGAACCAGTACGGCCCGCTGCCTGGCACCCGATGCGTCGTCTTCGTGGACGACGTGAACATGCCCGCGAAAGAGATCTACGGAGCCCAGCCGGCCATTGAGCTGCTCCGGCAGTTCTTCGACCACGAGGTCTGGTTCGACCTGAAGCAGCCGGAAATTATCAACGTCTACGACACGATGTTCGTCTGCGCGATGGCCCCGCCGGGCGGCAGCCGGCAGGAGGTCTATCAGAGGTTTCTCAGACACTTCAACCTGTTCAGCATCAGCACCTTCACCGAGGAAACTATCGTACGCATCTTCACGAACATCGCGTTCATCGGGCTGCAGCGGCACGGCTTCACAACCGCCGCCATGCCCTGGATCATAGAGATCGTGAACGCAACCATGAGCATATTTCAGAATGCTCGGAACCAACTGAGACCTACACCCACCAAGTCCCATTATCTGTTCAATTTGCGGGACTTCTCGCGTGTGATCATTGGCTGCACGATGATCAGGGAAGAGTCCGTTGACTCGAAGGCGGTCTTCGCGAGGCTCTGGGTCCACGAGATCCTGCGAGTGTTCGGCGACCGTCTGATCGACGACGAAGACCGACGTTGGCTCTTCCTCAAGATCAAAGAAACGGTCGGCAGTACCTTGAGGGAGCAGTTCGACGCGTTGCTCGATTATCTGCCGAAGTTCGACGGCGAACTCAACGAGAAGAGCTTGCAGAGTCTGATATTCGGCAACTTCATGGACGTCGACACGATCCCGTCCGATCGCCGGTACCAGGAGGTCCTGTCGATGGACGAGTATCTCCAGGTAGCCACGTCCTGCCTCGAGGACTACAATTTAACGCACAGACACAAGATGGACATCGTCCTGTTCCGCTACGCGCTCGAACATCTCGCCAGGACATGCCGGATCATGGTGATCCCATGCGGTAGCCTGCTGATGGTCGGCGTGGGCGGATCCGGTAGGCAATCCCTGACCAGACTCGCCGCCAATATGATCGGTCACGGAATTTTCCAACCGGAGATGGGCAGCGCGTACGGTTTGCAAGAATGGAGGGACGATATTAAGAAGGTTTTCTATTGCTAAGCTAATCTCTTAAGGCTTGTTTAATTAACAAGCGTCGATGCGCAGGTGCTAATCAATTCCGGTAGTACGGGCAAGGACTATGTGTTCCTGCTGACCGAAGGGCAGATCAAGGAGGAGATGTTTCTGAACGACATCGACAGCCTTTTGAACTCCGGCGAGGTGCCGAATCTGTTCACCATCGAGGAGAGACAGGAGATCATCGAGGCGACCCGCTTGGCGGCGCAGGGTGGCAACCGGAACTTGGACATATCGGTTCTCGCTGTGCTTGCGTTTTTCGTGAACCGTTGCAAGGAGAGGCTGCACATAATGCTCTGCTTCAGTCCTGTCGGAGACACGTTCAGAATCAGACTGCGTATGTACCCCAGCCTGGTCAACTGTTGCACGATCGACTGGTTCGACGTGTGGCCGGAGGACGCCCTGGAGCGGGTCGCTTTGCGCAGCACCACCGGCATCAACGTCGAAGAGCGGGTCAAGGTGAACGCCGTGGTCGCCTGCAAGTTCTTCCACGTTTGTGCCAAGGACATCAGCGCGCGGTTCTACAACTCGACCGGCAGGCAAACTTACATCACCACCGCCAGCTTCCTTGACCTAATTCACACCTACGCTGAACTGATGAAGGAGAAACAAGTGGAACTTACGCTCGCCAGGTACTCATGCTCTCTCGATCTCTTGTAATTTTATATACTAAATGAAAAAAGATAATGTAAAAAATGGAGAAGAATGGAGTTGTGGCTAATCGTGAGATTCAGCAAAATGTTAGCAATAGTAATGACATAATGAACTTGAACAGCTTAAACACACATGTATCCAAAATATTTGGGTGGCATATAATTATTCTTTCTTCTTGTTTCACTTTAACGCTACTCGAAAGAACGATAACAATGAACTCCGTTTAACTCGGCTTTGGTTTCCAGGGATCGTTATTTAAACGGACTGGACAAGCTGCAGTTCGCTGCCGAGCAGATCGACACGATGAGGGTGACGCTGTCGAAATTGCAACCGGAACTGGAAATGTCCGCGAAAGAAACGGTGGCAACCATGCAGAAGATCGAGACCGAGAATGTGAGCGTCGAGAAGGCCCGGTTGCTGGTCAAAAGGGACGAGAATATGGCGAACGAGCAGGCAGAGGTCTCGATGAACCTGAAGATGGAGTGCGAAGCGGATTTGGCGGAAGCGATGCCAGCCTTGGAGGAAGCTATTGGTACTTGTCTGGGTCCTCGTTAGAAATTTCCGATTCTATATTTATATCCTAGACATCCTATGATATCCTCATCGTAGCGGCTCTAAATACCTTGAAGCCGGCTGACATAACAGTCCTGAGGACCATGAAAAGCCCACCTGCCGGAGTGAAGCTTGTAATGGCGGCAGTCTGTGTGATGTTAGATATACCGCCAGCCAGGATCGAAGATCCAATTACTGGTAAAAAGGTGCTAGACTATTGGGGACCTAGCAAACGTGTATTGGGTGATTTCCGGTTCTTGGAGACGTTGCGCCAGTACGACAAGGATAACATTCCAACCCGTATAATGCAGGTATTTCGGGGACTGTTAGATACGGTGTTGTAGAGAACGTTTGATTCTGATCGTTCGTTTCTAGGAAATCAAAACGAAATACTTGACGGACAAGAGCTTCGAGCCGAAGGTGGTGGCGAGGGCGTCGTCGGCGGCCGAGGGCCTCTGCAAATGGATCAGAGCGATGGTTCTGTACGACGAGGTGGCGAAGGTAGTTGCACCGAAGAAGGCGAAATTAGAAGCCGCGCAAAAGGAGTACGAGGACACGGTCGCTTTCCTGAAAGAGAGACGCGCGGTGCTTGCAGAGTTGACCGAGAGGCTGGCCATACTGACCAAGAGACTGGAAGTGGCCGTGGCCAAGAAGATAGAGCTTCAGAACGCGGTGACCCTCTGCCGGAACAAACTGATCAGGGCGGAGAAGCTGATCAACGGTTTAGGCGGCGAGAAGAACCGATGGATGGATGCGGCGGCTGGCCTTCAAAAAGCCTACGACACTTTACCCGGCGACATTTTGCTCTCCTGCGGCATCATAGCATACATGGGACCATTTACGACTAGCTACCGCGTCGAGAGCCTCGAGAAATGGTTCGCGCATGTTAAAGGCCTCAAGATACCTTGTAGTAGCAATTACGAGTTTGTAGAGATCCTCGGCTCCGAGATCAAGATCAACTCTTGGAACATTTTCGGACTGCCCAGGGACTCGTTCTCTATCGAAAACGCCATCATCATGGACAATTCGAAGAGGTGGAGTCTGTTCGTCGACCCGCAGAGCCAAGCGAACAAATGGATCCGCAATATGGAGAAGCAAAACGAGCTGGAGATCGTCAAGCTGACGGACGCTAAGTACATGAACATCATCGAGCAGGCTTTGGAGTATGGTACGCAAATGCGCGGAGTACATACATTCTTTTTAATTGATTATTCATTATTTTAATTAATCCACTTTCATTAGGCAAACCGGTGCTCATCGAGAACGTTCTGGAAAACCTGACGTCAGCCCTCGACCCCATATTGACCAAGTCGATTTACAGGATGGGAAATATGTGGTTCATCAATCTCGGGGAGAAAGCGATCGAGTACAATGTACGGTTCAAGTTGTACATGACAACGAAGCTGCGGAACCCGCACTATCTACCGGAGGTATTTAACAAGGTGACGCTGATCAACTTCGCGTTAACGATGCCTGGTCTGGAGGATCAATTGCTGGGCATCGTGGTGGCGAAAGAGAGACCGGATCTGCAAGAGAAACGGGAGTTCTTGATCGTGCAGAGCGCCGCAAACAGGAAAGCCTTGAAGCAGGTGGAGGACAACATCCTGAAGACGTTGTCCGACTCCGGTGCGACTATTCTCGAGGACGAGGAGGCGATCGAGATCCTCGACTCGTCCAAGATCCTTTCGATCGACATCTTGAGAAAGCAGTCGGTCGCGAAGAAGACCGAGATACAGATCGAAGAGTTTCGACAAAGCTACAAGCCAATAGCGAAACACAGTTCCGCGCTCTACTACACCATCACCGATCTACCGAACATCGATCCGATGTACCAATACTCGTTAATCTGGTTCATCAATCTGTACGTAAACTCGATCGACACCGCAAATAAGAGCAAGATCCTCGAGCGGCGACTCATGTTCCTTAGGGAGACCTTTACGTACAATCTGTACCGCAACGTCTGCAGATCCTTGTTCGAGAAAGACAAGGTAAATCATTTTCGTGGAACCTTCTAAATTCGAATTTCAGTTCGTCCAACCACCATCAGGTCCTGTACTCGTTCATGTTGTACACGACGATCCTGCTGACGGAGAACATGATCACCAGAGAAGAGCTAACGTTCTTTCTGACCGGTGGCGTCGCGTTAGCCACCGTCCCGGTGAATCCGATGGCAGATTGGCTTCCGAACAAATCTTGGGCCGAGATCTGTCGTGTACGCTCGTTAACGGGCTTCGCCGATTTCCAAGGGAGCTTCCTCCGTAACGGGAACGAATGGAAACATTACTATGATCTAACAAATCCGGAGAACGCGTCGATGCCGGAACCGTGGGAGAAGACCCTGACGCAATTCCAAAAGCTAATCGTCGTCAGAATGATTAGAACCGACAAAGTGACGATCATGGTAAGGTACACCTCCCTCAACCCACTGCTTAAGAAAGAGAGAGAGACCACAGTTTAATCGCTTGCAGATCCAACGATTTGTCCAAGATGGAATGGGATTGAAGTTCGTTGTACCTCCGCCGTTCGACATCTCCAAATCGTTCGCGGATTCGAACTTCTTGAATCCGTTGATCTTTATCCTCTCTCCGGGTTCCGATCCGATGGAGGCACTGACGAAGTACGCGGAGAACGTAAATTTTCTCGAAAGATTCCACTCGATCTCGCTGGGTCAGGGTCAAGGGCCGATAGCTCGTAAATTGATCGAGCAAGGCCAAATCGAAGGAGAATGGATATGCTTGCAAAATTGCCACTTGGCCGCTTCCTGGATGCCCAGTCTGGAGACCATCTGTGAGAGTTTCGATCCCTCGAACACCCATTTGAGTTTTCGCCTTTGGTTGACCAGCTATCCGTCCGAACACTTTCCCATCACTATCCTGCAGAACGGCGTAAAGATGACCAACGAGCCGCCCACCGGTTTGCAAAACAACATTATGAGGTGATCGATCTTTTAAAAACGAAGCACTGCAATTAGAAATTGGATTCAATGTCATCGGAAATTTCCAGGTCCTATAAAGCCGAGGCAGCTAGAGACCCGGGATTCTTTGACACGTTCCCTAAGAAGAAGAGAGCGTACTCCAAGTTACTTTATGCCCTGTGTTTCTTTCATGCTGTGGTGCAGGAGAGGCGGAACTACGGAGCCCAGGGCTGGAACATAAAATACGGTGTGTCGAAATCGTTGACTCCTTTGAAATCATTATCGAAACGAATGTTACATTGCAGGCTTCAATGAGTCCGATCTGCAAATATCTGCCCAACAGCTCCAATTGTATATAAACGATTATGTCGAGATCCCGTTCAAAGCGATCCTGTATTTGACTGGCGAGTGCAATTATGGGGGCAGAGTCACGGATGAGAGGGATCGCAGGTGTCTGAACACTATACTACAAGACTTCTTCAACTTGGACGTGATCACGGATGCGAATTACTCGTTCGCTCCAAATGCTGGCCCAGAATACGCTTTACCAAAAAAGTACAAACACTTTCTTAAAATCCAACTTCCGTGTACGTCGGGTTGCCATAAAGAAATTCACCAGTGTACAATGGGTTAACAGACACGAATATGATGATTACATCAAGCTGATTCAAGGGATCCCATTGAACCCACCGCCCGAGACACTTGGTCTTCATATGAACGCGGGGATAACGCGAGACCTCGAATTAGCCAACATATTCTTTAGGTCAATGTTGCTGATACAGGGAACCGGGACAGTGGGTGACACTTCCAAGCAGGACGAGATACTGCTCAATATGAAAAAAGACATATACGGTAGGTTGCCGGTATTGTTTGACATTGAGGAAGCCGAGAAACGATATCCTGTGATGTACATGGAATCCATGAACACGGTGTTGATACAAGAGCTAGAGAGGTATAATACTCTGCTGCACGAAATGCGGCAATCTCTCTCGATGCTCGAGAATGCAGTCAAGGGATTAATAGTGATGACTCCTGATCTCGAGGTAATAAAATACTAGTAATATAATAATATATATATATAATAATATAATAATATATATTAATATATATGATAATATAATAAAATACTAGTGATACAAACAACTTTGCACAGGATCTAGCTATTCATATATTAAGCTCGAGGATACCACAATCGTGGACAAAAGCGTGCGCCTATCCGAGCTTGAAACCATTGCCGAGTTTCATCAACGACTTTCTGGACCGATTAAATTTCTTCCGAAATTGGTTGGTATATGGAATACCAAAGACATTCTGGATATCCGGTTTCTCCTTCGCACATGCTTTCCTTACGGCGACCATGCAAAACTTTGCGAGAAAGTACAAGATACCGATTGATAGGATTGACTTCGACTTTAAGGTTCAATCGTGATATTTGTAGTTTTTACAGCCCTAATTCTCAGCCGTACTTTTTCCACGAAGAAATTGATCTCGCGGTTCAACAGGTGCTACCGACGTATGAATTAGAGGAATCGCCGATAGACGGCGTTTATATTTATGGAATGTTCTTAGCCGGCGCGAGATGGGACACGCAAATCATGCTGCTCGAAGAGAGTTATCCGAAAATCTTATGGGATCGTATGCCGATTATATGGACGAGACCAACTCACATAGAATCGATAACTATCGGTCAACGATATGAGTGCCCCCTTTATATCACTTCCGCCCGTTTCGGTATACTGAAAACGACCGGACATTCAACAAATTATGTATTGTCACTTTTATTAGACACCAAATATCCTGTTAGTCACTGGATCAAACGAGGCCTCGCTTTGTTGTGTCAGCTAGACAATTAATATCGTAACAAAAAGTTCAAACAGTCGATATACAGGATGTCCCATTTGACAGGGTACGTACATGATTTGGTAGTGGGAGCCACATGTCGTGCACACAGTCGGTAACGTAACACTATTATGGCGCTTTATCAAAGCTCTTTAAATCCTTCGGAGAAAGGAATATGTAGATATTCTAAACATCGAATAAAGTTTGATTAACATTTGCAAACTTATGAGACAAGAAAGGAACGATCAAATTTTTCTTGACATTCGATGATCTTGTAAATATGAGCAGTTCAACGTTTATTCTTGACAACGGTGCCAACACCGCAAAAGTTGGGTTAGCCTCTGACAGCCCAAAGTAAGCCTTACACCTCACTTACAATGAATTTAATAGATACAATGGTTTTTGTTGAGAGAAATCTCATGCTTTTATTTTCAGATTAGTTCCTAATTGTATAATGAAAGCGAAAAGCGAACGACGAAGGCCGTTCGTCGGGAATCAGATTGAAGAATGTCGAGACGCATCCGGTCTCTTCTATATACTACCCTTTCAGAAAGGATACCTTGTTAATTGGGACGTACAAAAAACCGTATGGGATTATGTGTTCTCGAAAGAATGCTGCCCTGTAAATTTGAGTCACCTCTCTGTAGTTGTGACCGAACCACTATATAATTTCTCCACTGTCCAAGAAGCTATGACGGAAATATTCTTTGAAGAATACGAGTGCCAAAGTTTACTGAGAATCAATCCAGCTACCCTCTCTTGTTACCGATATAAATCAGGAAATCCTAACACAAAATGTTGCATAGTAGTTGACAGCGGATATAGTTTTACCCACATAGTACCCTACATAAACGATGTCAAAGTAAAAGAAGGTATCAGACGGATTGACGTAGGTGGAAAACTTCTCACCAATCATTTAAAAGAGATAATATCTTATCGTCAACTGCACGTTATGGATGAAACTTTTGTTATAAATCAAGTGAAAGAGGATTCTTGTTTTGTGTCGCAAAACTTTTTCAAAGACATGGAAATTGCTAGAAACAAGTTGGAGAATAATCACATAATCAAAGATTACGTTTTGCCGGACTATACAACGCTAAGACGAGGTTACTTGAAAAGTCCTGAGCCTCCCAACGAACAGCAAACTCTACGATTGAGTAACGAAAGGTTCGCTATACCAGAAATATTGTTTTACCCATCCGATGTTGGTATTCGACAGATGGGTATACCAGAAGCGATTATGGATTGTTTGAAATCGTGCGATGAGGAAACGTGGCCTCATCTATTGTCCAACATCGTCCTTACAGGTGGGAATGTAAAATTCCCAGGATTCCAAGAAAGAATTTATACAGAAGTTAGAAGCCTTGCTCCTGCAGAGTTCACGATAAACGTTTATTCGCCTGAGAAGTAAATTTGTTACGATTATTTATTTGTTATCTGTATAAAATATTGATCTATATAACTTATTATTCATTCTTTCAGCCCAATCACGTACGCATGGTACGGTGGTAAAACATTATCAGAAGATCCATCGTTTTCAAGCCTTTTAGTTACCAGGGAGGAGTACGATGAAGAAGGTCAAAATCTTTGTTTCGAAAAATTTGATATTTAATCATGCCAAATATTACGAATACAATTAATGTATATTTAATTAAATATCTTTTCTAATGATGTCCGATCGCTCTGAATGTAGTATGTATTTAGTTTTCAAATTATAATTTATCAGTCCACCATATTGAACAGTCTGATGCGTCATCTATGGATAAATTCTCAAGTTACTAATCGATTACACATAGTAATATTACCAATCTGTTATTTTCTTTGAATGTTGATAAATAGCGAAATATAGATTGGATACTAATTGGAAATAAAATTTGATCACAGTCTGACTAAAAATACATATCATTGAATCGTTACAATTGCTGTTGTATTTATATTTGATATTTATTTTTCACACGATTGAACTTTTAAAGCTCTATCAGTGATTGGTCTCTATTTTTCACACGATTGAACTTTTAAAGCTCTATCAGTGATTGGTCTGCTTCTCGAAAAATGTCTCGCTCCAACAGAATTCTGTGCTCATAGCAAGAAGGTGCCATGGAATATATGGACGGAGCATGTACCCTGAATTATGACAAGGGGAATAAGATTCGTCGTAAGGGGGGACTACATGCAGTTCGGCTGTATTCGCGCGAAAATAACCGAAGTGCATATAGTCTCTGCTTACCGCGAATCTCAGCCTCCCTCAACCGAATGCTCCATCTATATATTCATAGGTCCGTGGAAAGTGCAATTACGTCTGGCTATGGTCATATTTTGAATCTAGATGGTAGAACTCTATCGCGAAATACGATTAGTTCTCCCTCTACATCTACATATGTGGTGAGGGATGAAGATGAGCTTTTATCGCGTAGGAGGAAATGAACCTTTTGCGCAACGGTACTCTAATCGGAACAGTATTCGTGATTAAAGCGCATCAAATGTGTCGTTGCGAACGATACACACATACAACAATATCGTCTATCGAGGATTGGGGAATCGTATAGGATGGAAATTCGAGCTTTCACAATCTGAATCGCGCTATGCCTCGAAAGACGATGGATACGTATCGACGATCTCGTTAAGGTATTCAACGACGACAACAAATTGAGTGCGATATTTTTTTTCCTTTCTCGGTATATCCGTGACAGAGAATTCGGTTTGTTGACAGGTGCGCGTACATTTTCCTTCCGTTGTTTGTTTTTCTGTCTCTCGTCACGTCTTCGTTCGATTTTTTCGTTCTCTCGCTATATAATTGCAACCCTTAAGCTACTTATCCCCCATTTTCATCCGCCGGGTAAAAAAGAGTTGAGCTCTTTACCCTCACAGTTCCTCCACCCTTTCCGTCTCTCTCTCTTCCTCTTTTCCTCTCTCTTCTTCTCTCTCTCGTACTTCCTCGCTCTTTCCCTCTGCTCCCCCTCTCTATTTGTCTCTTTCTCTGAGTCTAATTTTCTCCCCTCTCTTTCGGGACGTTGCTGATTTTTCTTTCTTTTTATTAAATGTACACGATAACAAGACAATTTTCGATTCTCTCGCGCATTGTGAACGTGGATGAGTAATCGTGGTTTCACACGGTGGCCGATCATCTTCGGCTGGTCTGCCTGGAAAGCGAAGAGAACGTGAATGGTCCTTACATTTTACTGGTGTCAATGTACACACGGTGCAACGTTATTGTAACATTGGCCGTCACCGAGCACTTCTAACTGAGATCCCCGAAGTTCAGACAGAAAATTCGACATGATGAAGGGTAGTGGTATGCTAAAAAAAGAGAGCAAAATGCGCATACGTGCTTTTCCGGTGAGTATTCGGTTCTTTTGCTGTTATGCATCCGAATATTTTTTTAGTCTTGCCCCATTCGTTTGGCCTCTCTGCCGAAAAAATTATTTTGTTTCTTTCGTCCCCCTCGCCACCCTCACCCCCCTCGGTTCCATTTCTTCTTTTTCTCTCTTCCATTTTCTCTCTCTTCCTTTGCGGATATACTTTTTTTTTTTAACTACATATTTCTATTCGCATGCATACATGTATACACATATACATAGACATTTTTATAACCTGTTCCTTTATATTATACGTCAGGTTGAAAATGTTGACTGGCTTTTTGAAAAGTGATGTCTGTCTGTTTGTTTCATTGACTCCCACAACTGTGTTGTTTTCATTAGTGGCTTTTTGTTGTATATTTCAATTTCATTTCATTCTTAGACAACTCCACATACACACACACACACACACACACATGCACGCACAAAGGAACACGATTAATATAGTATTTGTAACTATCATTTTTGGGTTTACAACCAAATTGTATGAGTATTCAAGTGATAAAATGCAGTTGCTATAGCACCAGGAAAGAGAAGCATTGAAATATAGAGATTGCAATGTTATCCTGTTCAAAGACTAATTTCAAATTTGATCTGTCATATAAGTTTGACATCTGAATCACAATTAGTTACTAAATTTATAATTGATAAATTATTTCATAGATTATTCATTCCCAGCGTAAACATAACTACATGCAAATTTAATTGAAAAGAATATCAGTATTTGTGGTCATGCTTTGTACGTAACTTGTTAGAAGATGTAATTTGTGGTTTCCTCGCAATACATACCATGCATTTAACATTTCATATAGGTGATTCTAATACCTCGTTCAAAAATATTAACCCATGATACATTGAAGAACCTTATTGGTTCAAGCATGTTATCTAAATATTTGCATTAATTTTATATACTAAATGAGAAAAGATAATGTAAAAAATGGAGAAGAATGGAGTTGTGGCTAATCATGAGATTCAGCAAAATGTTCACAATAGTAATGACATAATGAACTCAAACAGCTTAAACACACATGTAATCCAAAATATTCGGAGGGCATATAATTATTCTTTGGTAACCGCAGATGTATTCTCATAATAAAACCATCTATTTCCATAATATTTCTGATGATTTTCTTGTTGTTAATACGAGTAATAAAGCTTGTAGTACTCCAAAGTTATTTATTCTTCTTTATAAAATCAAGACTAACGTTATACATATATATATTTTTTTAGACTACTATGGATGAGAAGTATGTAGAAAGTATCTGGGCCTTACTAAAAAATGCCATTCAGGAAATTCAAAAGAAAAACAATTCTGGTCTTAGTTTTGAAGAACTTTATCGAAATGCTTACACTATGGTCCTCCATAAATATGGAGAACGTTTATATACAGGTCTGAAGGAAGTTGTAACATATCACCTTGAGAACAAAGTACGAGAAGATGTACTAAGGTCTCTTCATAACAATTTCCTTCAAACATTAAGCCAAGCTTGGAACGATCATCAAACATCTATGGTGATGATTAGAGATATTCTAATGTATATGGATAGAGTATACGTGCAGCAAAATGATGTAGACAATGTGTATAATTTGGGGCTTATCATATTCAGAGATCAGGTAATTTTTTAACGATTGAATCAAGAATAATTTCGTGATCGAATAACTAAATGTTTATCATATTTTTTTTTCAGGTGGTCAGGTATGGGTGTGTTAGAGATCATTTAAGGGAAACTTTACTAGATATGGTAGGAAGAGAAAGAAGGGGAGAAGTAGTAGATCGCATTGCAATAAAAAATGCCTGTCAAATGTTAATGTTACTTGGCATTAACAGTCGTCAAGTTTATGAAGAAGATTTTGAAAGGCCTTTTTTACAACAGAGCGCGGAATTTTATAAAGTAAGAATGTTCACTCTCTCTCTCTTTCTCTCTGTAATTTCACGAATCTCTTTGTCATTATTATTGACTTCTAATTGTATTCATTTGTAGATGGAATCTCAGAAATTCTTGGCAGAAAATAGTGCATCGGTATATATAAAAAAAGTTGAGGCTAGAATTTGCGAAGAATCGGAAAGAGCAAAACATTATTTAGACGAATCTACCGAACCTCGAATAGTAGAAGTTGTAGAGGAAGAATTAATTAAAATTCATATGAAAACTATTGTAGAGGTACACTAAATTGTACAGGGTGTATACAAATATTGTGTCTTGATTATCATAGAAGAATTCTACACGTTTGTATCGGTGAAGATCTGTAAAAAAATGTTGCCGCAGAATTGTCCTTAAATTTCAAGGTCAAGTCTTTTTTTTACAGATCTTCACCGATCCAAAAGCGTAGAATTCTCCCATGATAGTCGAGACACAACATTTTTATACACCCTGTACATTATAATAGCTTTTTGCTTTCTATGATGTTATATATCAGATTTCTTTCCTGTTACTTCTAGATGGAAAACAGTGGCGTAGTTCACATGCTTAAAAACCAAAAAACTGAAGATTTAGGTTGTATGTACAAATTATTTTCGAGAGTTTCGGCCGGATTGCGTACGGTATGCGATTGCGTCTCACAATTTCTCAAAGAACAAGGGCGTGCCATGGTTCAGGAGGAACACGAGTCTACAACAAATGCAGTATTGTACATTCAGAATTTGTTAGATCTAAAAGATCGTTTCGACCACTTCCTTCATTACTCGTTTAATAACGATAAGAATTACAAGCAAATGATTGCCTCTGATTTCGAATACTTCCTAAATTTAAATACAAAGAGTCCAGAGTATCTTTCGCTCTTTATCGACGACAAGCTGAAGAAGGGTGTCAAAGGGGTTAGTTCTGTAAACTGTAGTCCTATAGATAAGTACTCGGTAGAAAGAACTCTTGTATTACTCGAACAAACACAAGACAATGTGTCTCGTTGTTCCCATGACATTACCAAGAAAGTTAAAGGACTATACGTATTTTAGATGACAGAACAAGAAATAGAGGGTATTCTGGACAAAACCATGGTTCTGTTTCGATTCCTTCAAGAGAAAGACGTATTTGAACGGTACTATAAGCAGCACTTAGCTAAACGTCTTCTTTTAAACAAGTCTGTCTCTGATGACAGTGAGAAGAACATGATATCTAAACTTAAGGTAATTACTTTGTTCTTTGTCATTGATTTTGATCAAACGACGCATCCGACTAATTATCAATTTACCATAGACTGAATGTGGATGTCAGTTCACGTCCAAATTGGAGGGAATGTTCAAAGACATAACAGTCAGTAATACTATAATGGATGAATTTAAAGATCACGTCCTTACATCTAATGTAAGTTTTTATACTCGATCATACCTAGGATGATAATAAAGAACCACAGATACTAATACTGTTCGTGATAAAGGCAAAGTTGCACGGCGTTGACATAAGCGTCAGGGTTCTAACAACTGGTTTCTGGCCAACGCAATCGGCGACTCCAAAATGCAACATGCCATCCGCCCCACGAGACGCCTTCGATGCCTTCCGTCGTTTCTACCTTGCTAAACATAGCGGTCGACAGTTAACGTTACAGCCGCAATTAGGTCCGTTCATTTACAATTAGAATGTGTTACTTTCCAAGTAGTATAACGTTATGTATTTTTCTGCGTCTAGGTTCCGCAGATTTAAATGCTATGTTCCATGGACCACGAAGAGAAGAAAGCAGTTGCGCGGGATTGGACACACCATCCTCCTCCAGTTTGATTGGTAATGGAAGCGGAAGCGCCAACGGTAGTCTGTTAAGCCAGTACAGCATTAATTTTGCGAACACAAGGAAACACATAATTCAAGTATCCACTTATCAAATGTGTGTCCTAATGCTATTCAACAAAAGGGAGAGATTAACATATGAGGTCAGTTGGTAACCACTGAGTTGGTTCGTTCATCTCTATCTTATTTTCATCGACTCTGTGAAGTATCACGATACAATGTATGAAAACGTTGCGTAGGAAATTCAAGGTGAAACCGATATTCCAGAAAGAGACTTGGTTAGAGCATTGCAATCTCTCGCTATGGGTAAAGCTACGCAAAGAGTTTTGCTAAAGCATCCTCGTACGAAAGAAATAGAACCTACGCATTGTTTCTGTGTCAATGACAGCTTTACCAGTAAATTGCACAGGTATATCGAGCACATCCAAATCGTCTTATCAAAACTAAATCACTCATCTACGTAAAGAAATGTTTCTGAATCTATTCAATAATAATGTCCTTATTCCTGTATATTTTTCTAAAGAGTAAAAATACAAACGGTGGCAGCAAAAGGAGAATCAGAGCCAGAAAGAAGAGAGACACGTAACAAAGTCGACGAAGACAGGAAGCATGAGATAGAAGCAGCTATCGTTCGCATTATGAAAGACCGGAAGCGCATGCCCGTATGTAACAATAGTGTGCTCGCTGTACTTAATCCTTTACACTTCCAATACTACATACATATATTAAAATAACTACATTTTTCTCTTCTATCCAGCACAATATACTTGTAACAGAAGTAACGGAGCAACTAAGAGGGCGATTCCTACCTTCGCCAGTAATTATTAAAAAACGTATAGAAGGTTTAATTGAACGTGAATATTTGGCACGCACGCCAGAAGATAGGTATGTCAGGACAGTACCATGAAAACGGAAAGCATTTTTAATTAAAATTTACGAGTTACCTAATGCCATCAATTTTCGATTACAGAAAGGTGTATACGTACGTTGCTTAATGCTCGAATTCAAATGTTGGATCTGTACAAACATGTAAGTAATTTGTAATAATACATATTCCTTTCAACGTATTATCAATATCTTATTATATAATGCCGATTAATTTGTATTGTTGCATCAGCAGTTTACATTAATTAGATGAAATCGTTATTGCTTTTATTATTGTTTCATGAATATAATTAAGATTATCGCGATCAAGGCATTCTACATCAAAAGAACCATGCAATTCGGAATAATTGTCAATATTACATTCCATTTTTGCTCGGTAGGATTTTGTTTGTACCATAAATTTCTATCTTACATTTTAGGTTTTGGTAAGATATCAGGACATTTTGCTCAAAAAATAAAATGTGACGTATAGTCAACGTTCATTGTGTATGCGTACGAAAATTTATTGAAAGAATTCCGTTTGTTTTAAAACCTAAAATTTAATATAGAAATCCGCGTGAAAGAAGAAAATTCAAAATGACACAGGAACGCAATTCGTGTTATCGATTGATGTGGATTGCCTCGACATTTCAAGAAAATGGTTAGTCATGTTTCATAATTGAACAGTTTGGTGGAAAAGGTTGACGTGTATTCGAGAGCTCTAGACTTTATACTCCTAAGCTCGTAAGAGAGACTTACGAATACGTTTTGTAACATTGATAACACCTTCTCCCCAATTCCACTTCATTGTATTGTCGATCATAAGCGGTTGAATTGAAATAAGACTTGCGGACACACCAGCTATATTGAAATACATATTGTAATTTAAATTCAATAGCGTTTAATTAATTGAAACTAAACGTTTCTTAATCATACGATTGCTAGACGTGATTTACACATCAGTCTTGTTACGATTAAGGAATTTTTCTACACTTGTAAAACTGTGATTGTCTATTGTCGTATACAAACTACTCTAGAGATATACCATGAACTTCGTTAAAATATTGGTATTACATCATGATTTTATTTATATCTGTGGTTATCCATAATGTGTGTACATATGCAGTGTGAATGTATATCTAAAAATATATTTGCCTCATTTTCAGTGTTCGATTACTTTATTTGAGAAATACGCTCTCTGCTATGTTCTCTTTTTTTCAAATTTTTATTATTTCCATCTTTGTGTAAAAAAACAGACATAACAGAATTCTGTTTCTATCAATAATTTGATTATAAACATTAAAATAAATAAAAGTACTAATCAGAACAAACTGTTGGTGCATTTTTCGCAACTTCCACCTCTTCCACCTAGCTCATCAATTATTTCGCTGATATCAACATTCAAAAACCAATTCTTCGTTATATCGCAGAATATTTATTATAGTATGCCAAAAGTGGAATCTACAAATCTGTAAAAGATGCGGAATGTTATTGGTGAATTAAAGAGAAA